GTTTAAGCTTTGACTGTCTACAGTACTCTTTATGAAATTTTTAAAGTCTAGAAGGTCATTCATACTACAAAATATTTTTTTTATCATTATTGCCACTAATTTGCAGTTTTATATCGTCATCAGCCTACCAGCGCCCACTGCTGAGCAACTCTTTCTCACATGGAGAAGATTTGAGCATTAATCACCACGCTTGCTCAAGACGGGTTGGTGATGACAAACTTATAATTGTGAAACTATAAGTCCAGGTTTCCTCACGACGTTTTCCTTCACCGTATGTCAGTGGTGTCTAAATAACCTCAGAAAGTACATACGATTCCGAAAAATCATATTGGTACTTGCCAGGTTTGAACCCGCGCCCTCGGCAACGAGAGGCGGACCCTTTAACCACTAGGTCACCACTGACTTGCAGTTTTATATGTTTTGGCTCAAATAGTGTACATAGATTTCATTAATAGTAGAACAAATATGAGAATTAATATAAAATAATACAAAAATTTTATGGAAAGCCTTGTTTTAATTATTATGAAAACTTTATTAAAAAAAACACATTTATCAGCGATTTTTATTTCTTATCTCCATTTAAATTTAGTTTCATTAGTACAAGTATCATATGTAAGTTCCAATAAGTTCCAAGTTTCATATGTAAGTTCCACTTATACAAGTGTTTGATGCCATTAAAAATGTTTTCAAACATATGTATCCTAAGAATGTGCAAAACATATTAATTTAGAATAATATAAATTCAAAACTTAGTAGAGGTGAAAGCATGTTTGTTACCCTTTGAATATAAAATATTTTTCTTTATTATAATAAAACACAAAGATGTCTCGGAGATAATATTCTAATTATTAATGAAACAAGACTATTAAATGATTGTGAGAAGTTTGAAATTATAAATACATATATATATTATATATCTTTTAACGGTTTACTAATTTTGTAAGAAAAAAATTATGTATAATTCTTTACAATTACATGTAAAGTTTTTTAGAAATCTAATAAATAAATCTAATCTAATAAAATAAATCTAATCCAGAGATTAGACATAATAAGTCAACATATAATTTGTTAACAATATATATTTAATATATTTTTTTAAATCTTTGTGAAAGAATAAATGTGCATTTATATACTTTTATTTCTTACTTCTGTAGATTGATGAACATATGATAATATTAATTGCATATAAAATATTATTAATACATCATTAATACTATATAAAAAATATATAAGATAAATTTATTAAAGGATATAAAATATCTCAATATATGTTTATTGTATTGTGACGGGAGCTAAGATTTTCTTTTTTGGACCTATGAGGCATTGAAACATTATAGGACCAACATTACATATTAGGAATAATGTGTCAGCAAAGATATTGTCATATATGATCGTCAAATATCATGTCCTCAAGTATCGATAGTAATTCACCAGTCACCCTGTATATGAAAAAATAATAATTAAAACTTACTAATATTTTTTAAAAATTAATTTAAATATGAGCAATTTTAATTATTTCATTTCCTAACATTACCAACTTTGAAAATAATAATGGCAACCACATCACATTATTAGTATTGAAATGAGTATGATATTGTTGAATTTCCTTTTAGTTTGTCGAAATCCTAATATTATTGAAAGTAAAAGTAAATACTGTGTATGGCCTTATTGGACTTTTTTGTTACAACCACATGTATTACTTGCATTACTCATATATAGGTACATATAAAAATGATAAATAGTATAAAAATCAAAGTTTGAAAACTTACTATTATTTTGAAATAAGCAAAAGTTAATTTTTTTTAAACCTTAATTTTTAGATTAGATACTGTACTCATATTACATTTCAATTTCAAGGATTAAACATGTCTTTTATAGTTTTAAAGTTATTTACTTCATAGAATGAGATTTGGAAGTCTTACCTACAATTAATTTGCTATGAGCAATGTGTCAATACATTTTATCTGTTAATTCCCATTGTGTTATGTTGTCTGATTGACTACATCATTTTTCTAATTAAAACATCCCATATGTAAGTCTACTTTGTAGTAGACATTATAGTAAAAGAAACTAGATTATCCTAGCTTCTACTCTAAATACATAGACACATTTCAGTGATATTATACTTGAAAAAATTATTATAATGTTATCACATACAAAATTGTTGTTCAACTCCTATTATAATTATATTCTAAGCTTCACCATGACCTGGATGATTATTTTATAAATTCATACACACTTACATCGGGTTATCCCATATACATTAGGCTTTAAAAGATACAATGACAAGTATTGAAATTAATTTACTACAAAGGTATTCACTAATAATCAGTAATATATATTTCTTAATAATATTCCGCATTATAGTATGGCATTTCAATATCTGTTTTTCTGATTGCAAAATTAAATGAAAATGATTTTATTTATTAACCACACTATACATCAAAGATGTCCTCCACACTCATGGTCAAAACCGTATGCATAACAAATATTCTAATGATAATTGCAAATCATCTGTTAGAAAGGTATCAGATCAGGATATTTATTTCTACATGAGAAATCTTACTCTGAGTATATTTACTTCTCATATGTATAAGTAAGTATATTAATTAGAAAATTAAAATTTACTCATATCTTAATTTGTATCGTCATACAATTAGAGTTGTTATATGTTACATATATATAAATAATGGATTAGACATTATAGTTATTAAGTTTAGTAAGAAAAATACTCAAATTAAACAAATTTTATATAATCAGTACTTGTGTTACTGTTACGAAGAACCAGAATTTTGGTGAGTGTAAGATTTCATGTTAAATATAGTTAGATGATAACATTTATATTAAATAAAACTCAATGGATAAACATGTTTTTGTTAGGCTCATTGCATAATTACTTTATTATGATTTAAAAAGTGTTTCACTAGTAGCAGAAGCAAAAGAAAAAATTAAATCACCAAATACAAAACACTTACTCGATTAAGCATTGCTTTAACTTTTTTTTGTATTTTTTGCTTATATATAGACTAAATAATTATAACAGTTACCGTTACTTGTATGACAAATATTTTAAGGTAAAACTAAAACCTGAATGCATCATATTTATGGGAATTTATTTCAATTCTACAGAATTTTTTAACTTAAACTTACAAGTTTATGTTAAAAATCTCATACTCCAAAGTTTAATCTATCTTTAAAGTTTATGATCTGGAACCATTAGTGATGATTGACATTAAAATGAAGTTCTTAATGTAACCCTACTTAAGCCAAAACATTAAAACAAGGCAATTAAAATGGCTACAACAAATAATTTAAGATCTAAAAATTTGTTAAGCCAAAACAATAATGATTATGTATTGTTAAAAACCTCATAGCTAAACATTCATTCACACTTGATGTAAATAATAATACATGCAAACTAAAACAAAATAAGTGTACATAGATAATTATATCATTATTCAGATTATAACACAGTTAAATTTGTGTTTAAGCAATAGATACATATAGTTACATGATTTTAATGTTCTAATGAGTACTCCAATATCGTTCTTTTTTCTTTATTCACAAAGGCAAATTTAATTTGTATAAACATAATTATTACAATTAACCTTCTATACTATTAGCGCAAGTTAAAGTTTTCAAGGGTTAAGATATATAGGCAAACGTCATATCAAGAATCCATTTCAAGACCGTAAACTGTAAATTGATTATAACAGTCATTTTAACCTGTTTTGTAACTTGTAAGTACTTAGGATTTTCAATTACAGTGGACACTCGCACAATGACGTCATTACATTGACAGTCAATAAACCATAGTAAACAAAACCATGGCTTCGATCTATCAATACGCGATTTTCTTATAAGAAAGGACAGCTGATGCCTTTTGTCATACCGTGATATGTGCAACTGTAAACGTTTTAAAGCATTAACACAAATTCAAGGATATCAAAGCTAACCGCGATCAGTAGTTGACAGTAAAACTAAATAACATGGCGGCATCTTGTCGCAACCGGTCTTAAAGGGCTTATAAATACCTAATGCAGTAAACACTTACTTCAGTTAATACTTTTATGATCCTTTTTCTCGATAAATTCACGTAAACACAGTTCAAAGGAAAATAAATAAGTTCATATCAGACACTAGTGGTAAAATGACGTAACATTCTCAACCTTCACGGTCGCACGGTAGGTACAAACGGCAGGTACAAGAAAGTTATTTTATTTCAAACACAATGGTCAACTTTTCACAAAAATATCACTTTACACTTTATTTACAAATTGCACTTCTGACAATGGTGACCCACCAAATGTTTGACAAATTAAACTACCTAGCGACTTTTATTATTCTGCCAAAGAACAAACGTGACACGCAGTCAAGCAACCTCGTTCATATTTTTTAATTTTTCACAATCCGCGGCGTGTTATCTTCACAGCAACAATCGGATACTTGTACAAAATTTCATTACAGAACGTTTATCGGAATGTGTTTGAAAAAAGGCTTTGCATATTATACTTTATATATATATTTAGGAAAATATTTAATTTTTAATATTGTTATACAATATAACAACTGAAAATATGATTTTATTATACGATCTAAGAAAATGGTTAATACACAAATAGGTATATACAAAATTCTCATCAACACCCATAGAAATCTATAAGAAAAAATGTGAATGAATTGTTAACCACTTATAAATTAAAAAATATCTCTCTTGGTGGTTTCATTTCAGAGACACGAATTATTTGGGAATAATAAGTATTAAAAAAAAATACATTGACAACCAGCAATTATTTAATGACATTTATAATTATTATAAAAGGATATTCTCTATAATTTTGTTATATCCGTATATTTACGTTTTTCGTATTTATTACCAACTTAATATTACGTATTTTATAAAATGGCTTTGCCTTGGCACATTCCTTTAGAAGCTCTTCCTAGTTTAAAGGAAAAAAAAAGCTCCAATTGAAACATCTCAATTCAAGCATTATTGCAATTTGAATATTCACGAAAACCCCATCGAAGAACTACAAACGGGTCTCATGTGTGAAATTGGAATGAATAATCGAGAGCCTGCGGTTATACAAAGATTAATAGCATCTGGAATGACAGTAGCTCGTTTGAACTTACGAGATTTAGAGCCTGATGCTTGCGCTCAGTTGATTCAAAGCATTCGTCAAGCAGTCTATAATTATAGCGCTGAACTAGAATTTGTGTACCCCTTAGCTTTAATTGTCGACGTAAGGGGTCCTGATATCATAACAGGAGATCTGAAAGGTGGTCCTCGTACAATAATTGACCTGATACAAAACGAAAGTATTAGACTCACAACTGATGGTAGCTGGAGAGAATGTGGTACATCTGACTGTTTATTTGTTGGGTATGATCACCTCACCGAGTTGCAGCAAGGTGATATTTTGTACATTGATAGTCTCTCGTCCGGAAAAATTAAATTAATTGTCTCGGAAGTTGGAGACGACTCAATTGAATGCTTTATTGCCGTCGGCGGAACAATAGGCTCTAAAATGACTGTCCGTATATCGAAAGTTCCTACTGAACTAGCACCTCTTGATAGAAAAGAACGGCAGAGTATTGACTCTATGGTTTACAGTGATACTTCGCAACAAGCTTTTGAATACATGGAAGATCAAATTGCTTGGGCTGTTGCGTCAGACATTGATGCAGTGCTTGTCCCGAATTCTCAAACCGTTCAAGACATTCGTCATGTTAGAGATATCTTGTCTGAAAGAGGAAAACATATTCTTGTTTTTGCCTGCATCGACTCTGTTATAGGGCTCGATAATATTGATGATTTATTATCTGAAAGTGACGGTATATATCTAGACAGATGTATTTTGAGTACTGACTTGCCTGTAGAAAAAGTTTTTATTGCTCAAAAAGTAATTCTTGCCAAATGTAATGAAGTAGGAAAGCCTTGTATATGTAAAGCTGTTATAAATGAGCAAATACCAACATTGTGTGTAACCGATATAGCCAATCTGGTATTAGATGGGGCTGATACACTTTCATTAGAATTACACTATGATTCGCCATTGAAAAAATTTTCTCCTGCATTTGACGCTGTACGAATGGCAGAACATTGTCTAGCTGCAGCAGCAGTCATTTGTAGGCAAGCAGAGAGAGTAACTTGGCATCCTAAAATTTATGGGAACATTGAGTTAATGCAAAGTCCTCTAGAGGAACCAACAAAATCAATATGTGTTAGTGCAGTAGAACTGGCCATGCGTTCTCAAGCTGTTGTTATTATTTGCTTAACAAATTCTGGGCGAACAGCAAAAATCCTATCCCACGCTAAACCTACATGTCCCATAGTTGCAGTAACGAGGGCGTGTCATACAGCAAGGCAATTAAGATTTTGGAGAGGGGTTCGGGCTATGCATTACTTTGAAGTTGCTAAAAGTAGTTGGATTGTAGAAGCTGATGCCAGAATTCACGCTGCACTTGATTATTGTAAAGCAAAAAGGTTACTTCGTGCTGGCGATCCTTATGTTATAGTAACCGGTTCAAGACGAGGAGTGGGGTATTGTGATGCTATACGACTCTTATATGCGAGTGCCCGTGAAACTGTATTAGTAGAATAAATTTTAAAATTACAAATCCAATTTGTTGTTAAAATTTTAATAAAGATAATCTATCTATTTGAGTTTATTTAAGCTTGAAATAATCGATTTCATTGATGTAATTATAATATGGAAGAAAAATTGGAATGTAATATTATAGGGTATTTGTTGTCTTAAATTTTTTTCTTTAATACTTTAATATTTTAAGTTTTTTCTTTAACACTTTAAACGATTTATTCAGTTAATCTCCTAAACTGGCGATTTGAAAAGGTCCTTTTTGATTTAACTATTTACCGTATTGTAACTAAAGCTATTTCGTTTACATCCTCTCATAATTTTTAGGGCGGGATAATGAAAAGCTAGGATTCCATTGCATGTTTTGTTTTTTAACTTTGCTTATATTGTCAGCTGATAGTTGTCAACTGTCAACTTAAATTTGTTGCTGACTTTAAACAATTTGAATTTGGAGTCGGTTTAATTATTAATATGACTATATTTTGCTATATTTTTGTATACTTTTCAGTAAAAAGTGTGCTAAAATATTAAGTTTCTGAATAAAGTCCTAGAACTCAGCGAAGTAAAGAAAAGTCATAGCAATTTATATTTTTTGGTAAATAATAGGTATCAATGTTAAATATAACCGTTATCAAACATTTAAAAGGAAATATTGTGTTTAAAAACATCTTAGTAGCTCATCTGTCAAAAGCATGTTTTGACCTTGAAATTATAATTTATAGTCAAATTATTTCTAGATTTCCCTAAGTTGCATTTGTGTTATAAAGTTACAATTTACAAATATAAGTTTTTCCTGAAAGCAAACTCATAGGTGAGTTTTATATTTATTACTAGAGTCTGTATAGTAATTAAATAGTTCATACATAAAGGCACATTAAAATGGCTCAGAATTTCTTCTTGAACCTTCAGATCCTGACCCGGTATTTACACTTTACACTTATGACAAACGATTCTAGTCTCAATAGACTTTTAATAAGAACGGTAATTTACACTCTCAAGCAATTATTTACGCTGCCACCTTGTGCTTTGGCTCGTGCCTCGTCTCGCCACTCGTACGCGAGTATAAATCCGAGGTGATAAGATTGCTGCCTTCTGACTACAATTATTTAGTAATAATGATGTACGCAATCCAGCTGCATCGCTGAAAAAACAGACTTTTTAATTTCTCTCAAGGTTTCTTGTCTGCCTAAATTTATATCCATATCCCTCCTTTATCATAGTTCCGATTCCTATATTAAATATCTCAAAGGACAAATTCTTGTGTCATGGTATTGACAGAAAACTCCTCCGAAAAAGCTGGACCAGTTTTGACGAAATATTTTTTATAATGTAGCATAATAAGATACATACAACCCAAAATTTTTACTTTTTTATCACCAACCCTTTTTTTTATATGGCAAAACAATGTTTGCCAGGTCAGCTAGACTTGCTATAAAAATAAATTAAAAAATGGGCAAAATTAAGTTTGCTTATTAGGTATATAAATCTCACAAATATAATTTATACATATGAAGAATTATTTTGAACATGTCACATATGTTATGTGCTTGGAAAATTAGAGTCGTAATTAGAGTAAATCCCCGAGGAATCCCTGTTAAAAATTCAATGGAAATATTGTTCAATAAATCTTCTCTAGTCAACTCTCCTTCTAGTTACGAATAGTGCTAAAGACCTAATCAGTGCTTTTGTTTTTGAATGGACTATCACTTGGGTCCAATTAATTCCAAGTCGGGTATTCTGGTCATCAGAATCTACACTGCCATTAAAATGCAAGACTTTACTAAGATATTGTTTCATGGCACATTGCACTGTATTTACCAGGCACTAGACCAACAAAGTATTTATGTTCTAATAGAACCTACTGTTTGCTTTAAAAATTTTCCATTTTAAAAGCATTCCACAAAACTTTTCTACCTCTCAAACTTTACAAATAATAAATAATGTTCTGTGTTGGTACTCAAGTGTCAGCATCCCAATATTGCTTGGAATACAGATACTCAGTGTTACATACATAAAATCTGTTGTTTACCATTTAAGCTTTCTATTCAAAGTCTTTCCCAATAAGTATAATTGTAATAAATCTTTCATCATAACTGGATTAAAAACTTCCCTTAGAGAAATTTTTAAGTTTAATTTTATTTCTAAATTGTATTTTGAGACCTGCATCTTCACAAATGTCTCATAATATGTATTATGTTTTATGTTGTTTTAGAATATCTTAGTGATGATATTTATTGGAGTTGAAGAATATTATAAATAAATATGTCTTTAGAAGAAACAGTGCGAGAAACATGTTCAAATTTAACATCAGTTCGAGCTACAGACAGAAAAAAAAGTGCAGAATCACTAAAAGACTCTCTTTCAAGAAATGCTGTTCCTACTTTATTGACAAATAACACTTTAAATAAAAAAGGATATAATTGGAATAATGTCTTTGATGACATAAATGACTACATCATGAAGGTTATCACATATTTTATTTCAAGTTTTACTTGTTATTGAGAAATCTATGCATGTATTATAGAAATTTTTATCATTAAAATAAGTAAAATAGATATAATACAGTATGTTTAATATTAGTTTTTTTTTTTATCAACCAATTATTTCAACTAATTTGCATATTGTATTTTAGACCAAGTTTTGTTAATATAACATTTTATATTTTTAGGAAACTGAGAAATTTGAATCGTCAAAAACATTTCATACAACTACAGTCCCCCTTTGTACCAGTTTATTGCACCTTTGTTTAGCTGGCTCTAATAGAGGTACCTTTTTTCTAATTTATACAAACCTATATTATTTTTAATGATTTCTATTAAACTTATTAACAAAATTTAAATTTAAATTACAATTTTGTCTCTTATTGTGACTTTAAGAAATGATGATTTTAAAGTGATGAAAAAAAAATGTATATAAAGGTAGTCTTTATGTATAGTAAAACATTTTTAAATCCTTCTAATTTTTTTAAGGTAAAGCTTATATAAAGTGCGACAAAATAACAAGAGCATGTTTAGATATATTAAATAACACGCGCCTCACTAACGCCATTGGAGATGCATACTTAAGTTTACTTTACAAACATGTGTTAAATAATGAACACCATTTAAGTTTTATTACACCATCAACATGGGAAAGTAAGTGTGGTTTGATTTAATAATATTTTTTAAAGATAAATGATAATAGTACTAATTCTTAATTTTGTCTTTGTAGATTTATTAGACATATGTATTGCAACATGTAGGAAACAAAACTCATCACTGGATGATCTGTTAAAGATAAGACTCTTGTGGCTAGTTTTAAAAAATGCCTGTTATTATTGTCAGTTCAACAAACCATTAAGAGATTCTTTGAGTGCCATAAATAAGTGTTGTATAAAAGTTTTAAATAATAAAAAAATACAAGAACATGCATTAGAAATCGTAATTTTGATACTAGAAAATGTAAGTACCTTCGAAATCAATAACTATAAACTTATGAAACAATATTTCATGTGAATTAATGTTTTCAGTTGTCTTCAGAAAGCCGTTTAACAGTATGTGAATTCACCGAAAGCATTTTGCCATATATTTTCAAGATTTATGAACAGAGTATGGAGCAGAGAAAGAAGGTGATTTTAAAATATCGCTACAAACATATATTTATAATAGAGTTTTATAATATGACTAGAATTGTAAAATGCAAAACGTACTAATTTCCGGAAGTCGACTTTATTAAAATTAGTATAAGGTATATTTGCCATTGTGTCATTTGAACTTACTTGATGCACTGTAATTTGTCAAGGCGACTCAGACTACACATTCTTTGTTGCTTTCTTCTGTAAGAATGATGTTAATCGCTGTTTTCAGACTACGACAGTTCATAGCTTAAAAATCTGAAAATCTGTGAGAGCTCTAATATGAAATTTTGTTATTTTTCTACAAAATGCCATACTATGTAAGAAATTATTTACGAAAGTATAGAATCTATTGTTCTGGTCTTGTTAGAATTTTTTTATCGCGTACTACGTTGTACATACTCAACTTTGAGAATACGTTAGAATAGAAATGATTTGTACGCGGATAGGCGGTAGTCCAAAAAATCTATATTCTTGCACTCGTACTGGTAGACTGGTCGTTTATTATTTATCTAGTTATCCTCCTGGAATTAGTTGGTTTAAAATAAGTTCCAAGGATGCGTTTTTTTGCAATCACCAGCTATCTGTTATCTACAAAGCTTTCATTGTATGTATTCACCATACGCAACTGTTCAGAACATTCTTTTTCTGGTAGGATGTTAATTGAAGTAATACAAGTACATTACCGAATTGTTCGAAGTAAATATTGTGAAATATGTATGTATATATTGTTCGATTCTATTTTTTGTTTTAATTTTCTTCCTTTAAAGTAAATAAAATTCTTTTTCTTTTAAAAGCTTTATGTGTAGTTTAATCTCTTATGTCCTTTATGTTTGTACGTAATTTAATTAATACAATTTTGTCATAAAAGAATTACCACAACGTTTCTGTTATTTTTATCACCTACAAATACAATTTTCTTGATTTCATAAAATAATGAATCACATAAAATTATATATTGTCATGTTATACCTTTTACTGTAGCTGTAAGTTTATTTACAGTCATTGTTATTTAAATTGTGCGAAATAACCATAAAAATTCACAATCCATTGGGAGCATTGAAAACCAGTAATAGTTCGTTGGCATACAACTGGGAAACGTGGAACAAACATGTTGGCAGCATGTTAGAAATTGTTTGTCTAGAAATCAGTGACGTGCAGAAGATGAAAAAATTAAACGATATGTCACAAATGCAATGCGATTATTTTTGTTTTGTGGGCGCTTCAGCGTTTTACCAGGTTGGTTGAATGAAATATTTGAAAATCTTACGTTTTGAGGCTGTGAATAAAACACAATGATTGATGGTTATTTTTCTATAGTGTTTTGTAACTGACCTTATAAAAGCGAAACTTTGTATATGTTTGTGTGTTTGCTGCTTATACATGTTGAAGCTACAGAACTTGTATGCATGATATGTTAAATACCTACACAACGCAAATAGTTGTTGCACTTCTTTTCTCAGTAGTCTTTATAACTGCATGGTTTGTTAGAAATTCGACTGTAAGCACAATTAGAGTTAGGTTTTCAAATAAATTAAGACAAGTCTCTAATTTGTGAATATTTTTTTTGTTATACACTTTTAATTGTTAGATTAATTATTGTAATATATAATTATAAAACTAAAAATGTCTTTCTTTTTTGAACAGACATTTAATATTCCCGATAGAGAAATAGACGATGTCTCCGAAGTTGGTAATTCTGCAAAGAAAATAAGAAAAGATTTGAACACTAGAACATCTTTTAATGAGCTCATTGAAGAATTATGTCTGAATCCTACAGCATGGTAAGTTTTAATAATAAACTAATTACATGAACGCATGTAACAAATATATCTTATAATGATAGTTAAAACTTTCGCGAGTATTCGTTTAAATAAAACTAATATCTTCGGATCACTATCGCTTTTTTTTTATTATTTTCAACTACATTCCCAACATTTTTCTCTCCTCTGGCCGTGATCATGGACGTTACAAAGTAACCGAAACGTCGGGAGTATGTAAAAAACTCAATAGTACGTTCGAAAATATTAGTTTTATTTAATATATTTCTATTTGATGACATTCTATTTCTTTAGCACAGGCTAAATGTTAATAATAACGATATAATGTTCGTTGTTCCAGGATTGGAATAATACATATGTATGTGAAAATGTTTCGTAGCTCGATTAGTTTTACGGAATACATATATCTTGCGACAGCTTTTGAAAGCATTATTCAAGAAAATCCAAAATTTCTTAACTGGGATAAATTTGCAGAATTAACTTGCTTGGTTATCAAAAGTCTATTATTAAATCAAAGTGAAAATATTTATGATATATTGTTACCTCTCTGGAATGCGTGTGTGAGGTAAGAGATAAGAGCTGAACCCTTTTTCATTGTTTTTAACATTTATATTAAAACATGAACCTTGCATGGAATAATAATTCATTAATTCTTATTTTGATAATCCAGAAACGCCACAATAGCGGGTAACCCACAAAAAGCTATTCATGCAGTATTGTTACAACTTTTAACAACTCTGCGCTTAAAGTATGAAGTTGTTAAACCTTTATTATTACTTTATATCGAAAAGAGTATGCCCGTGAATGATCACACTGTAGCCACACTAAACGGATTGTGTCACAAATTTTATATAAAAACTTGTTGCTCAGACATGAGAGGGAAATACTTTGCATGGTTAGTTAATGGAAATATAACGAATCTCAACGTGGAATGTATAGAAGATTTAATATTGAGACTGATAAGTAATGATAATATATCGCTACACACAAAATTGTCTACTCACAATGAAAATATATACGACGTTATATTTAAACATATAGACAAAAATCTATTGTATAATGAATTTGAATATCAAGTAACTGATAAAGAAAAAGAAAGTGTTTATAAATATAGAACACTTTGAGATGAACTCTGAATTGATTGGCATAATAGAAGATTATCTAGAGAAAATAATTATTGTAAATGATGATGTTGACCTTATAAAAAAATGCAAATATTTAGAAATCATTATCGCATACTTCAATCTCTTAGTGAAATATAAAATGAAGACACCCAACGAGGTTGAATCAACTCGTATATATGCTAAGTTTCAAAAAGCCTTAGAACGTTTATATACATCTCTGACAAAGGTTCTTAAATCTGGTATACAAATCCGTGATAAGATAGCAACACTGAAATCGGTACAGGGAATACTCATGAAAGACTATGAACCTTTACTTAACAAAGTAATCAGAGGACACATTGAGGAGGATTGTTTTAATAGTATACACGACGTAATAAGACAAGATGTGTCCAACGATGAAGAGGATAATTACTATGACGAGGACATAGAGTTTACACCCATGGGCTTGAAACTAAATTGCATTCACCTACTTGCGGCATATTGTAGACATCGCAGTGAATTTACAGGAGACATTATGAAGTGTATATTAGATCCTGATCTGTATAACTTTTCGAGCAGTTGGGAGATTGAGGGCGCATTGAAATGCATGCAAATTATTAACGAAGTTAACATGGAACACTCGTCAATAGGTAATTTTTATGTGGTTATTTAATTATAAAAAGTTTGTTTTGGATTTTTTACAATCTTTAGTTAGAGCTTTGTTCTTTTTTTACTACGTTTCGATATTAATTATGGCTGTACTCTTAAATTGATACACTATTTTGGATATTTTAGAATTATTGTTCGGACTGATTAAAAACATGTGCAAAGAGCTATTTAGACGGCCAAAAGCAACAAGAGGTTTGCTTCTGATTGTAAAAGAGATGCTTGATAAAATTTGGTCTAATGATCATAATTGTTTCATCATGATCGACAGTTTTTTCGCAGAGATGCAAAAACCTTTTTTATCCACCCGATGTTGCTGCTCTTTTATACGAATGTGTCGCCAAAATCGTCAAACTGAATAATAAACTAAGTCTAGACCCACGATTCAAAGACGTTTTGATAGATGCAATAAATAGAGATAATCACAAAATCAGGTTATACTGCTGTCATTTATTAAGCCTTATGATTGAGGGATTCACAGAAGACGACTTCCAAGAATTGACAGCCAAATTAAAGAACATATTCGTTATAAACGTATGTTATATTGAAATTGTTGATGTTATTTTGTTAGAAATGTTATATTAAATTTTGTATATGTAGGTTACAGATAACAAGGAAACCGTGCTAAGAGATGAATTAATGAATCGAACAACCGCTGTTTTACACTGTTTTTTTATGTCATGGGATTGTCAAAACGATTTTCTATACATGAAATTGTTATAAAAGTGATCGAGTTTCAAAGTGAGAAGTGTATGGATCAAAAGATAGTCAAAAAAGTCCTCAATATCCTAACTACAACCGTAACAAATAATAGTATAGAAGTTTATATGAATAACAATATATTAAGAATATTGGAATACTGGTTTCAAAATAATAAACAATTTGAAGAACTTCCGTTGTTTCTATTCGGTTATGAGAATATAGATGAGTTAATTCAAACCCATCTTAAGTGGCTTGTGGCAACTGACATCTTATGGCGAAGTAAAGGGGTAGTAGAAAATAGCGCTGTTTTAAAATACGTTACAGGTCAAACACTTGAAAGTACAATTGAGGTTAGTATAATTACAACAGTTTCTTTCATAATCAAATTATTTAGGATGGAGTTTAACGTTTTATTACTTCCGTTTTAGATGTGCTTTTGCAATATTGTAGCGCTAAGTTTACCCTATATTGTGATAGAAAAATACAAAATAGAAACTGGAAGAACCAAAGAATCGAGGGTGGCGGAAGCTAGCAAAATGTCCCAATCAACAAGAAGCATTTTGACGAACGATAAATGGAGTAATTTGTTTGTTGAGAATTTAGGCGATTTATTGTTACTGACAGCTGAGAATGTTTGTGATCACGTTGATGCCTCTCAGCTGTTTGGTTTCCAGTTGATGAACAAAACTGATTCTTACACTTATTCGAAACAAGTGTTTTCCGGTATATTGGAATATTTTGGGGTAGAACTTATCATAATAATTATTCTATTACAAACAGAATTTATTAGATTTTACTTAAAAATATGTAAAAAAATATATTTTCAGGAACTCATCGATGGATGTATCATGCAATATTTATGTGAAAATCAGCCGCTGGTTCTTCTTAACGTTCTATTCAAGCTATGGAATAAAGTATTAACTGAAAAAATTTTCGCACACAAACTTTTGGCTTTTCATGCTTACTTGGTGTTCATAGAGAAAATTCCATTCGGTTATCCATCCGATGCAATTCTCTACACATTTGCCTGTGTCAGTATGTGTAACGGTTTGAAGGAAGCCAAAACTAATGATGATGTAAAAATCTTCGTTGATGGTTTACAAAAATTATCAAAAAGAGTTACGGACAATTGGACACTATGCAACGAAAAATCTAAAAAGTTGATGTTGTCAAAAATAATAACAATTTTAGATTTGAAAATCTCAGAAGGTTTTAATGAATGTGACGGATTATTATGTTATATCACAGAGGATGTAAAACAAGAGTTTGCGGAGAGCGAAGATGTAGTGGATTATATGAAAGTAATGTCTCAGGGTAGATCAACAATGTATCCAATGATGTCGAAAATACTCTTTCGTGATAAATTGAAAACTTTTACCTCCAATCTATCGAACGCAAGGTAATTATTTTTATGACCTGTTAGTTATCAATAATTGACTCTCCCAGCTCCACTCACTGGCCTATTTCTCAAATAATTCGAACAATATGCCTATTTTATAATGCAGGGTTTTTCAATGCAATACCTTGGACGTCGAAAAGTCTCTTAGAAAGGTCGCGAAACTTATAGGCATACTAATGTAGTATAGGGAGTATAAAAGTATTAAAGGATTGATTAAGAAAAATGGTTCATTAAGGGAAACAATCTTATCTTTTCGTATGTCATTATCAAGATATAATATATAAACTAATAAAAACTTAAAAAGAAAGGAGTTTGATATAATATTTTTTCATCGTAAAAAGGACTTGTGATGAAGAGTCTAAATATAGGTTTATTATAAAATGGCGTCTAAGTCAATATATATACTCGTGTGCTTTTCTCAGGAACCATAAAATTTAGGACTGAATATTTTCTATCTTTTTCCCTGGGGGTTATAGAACTTTACTTCAAATAGATCCATGTAGTAGTATTTATGTCAAAGGTAACAAAGTTCAGTGCAAATACTTACAAACACTTGTATTTAAAATATCGCCACATAGTAATATTAGTAAATCATTTTTTTATTGAATAGCAAGAAAACTAAATTTGTTTATATATTTCACAGCCACAGAACACTTGAAAAATTACATTTATTAATTAAGAGTAATAAGAAATTTATGAATGATATTTACATGGAAGCGAGTGACAAGGGATTTTCAGAAGATTGTAAAAATAGTGTGGTGCATCAAATAATATCCACTTTATCAACCATAATAAAGACGACATCGTATGAAAAGGTAGTCTGTTTTTAAATTTATATCTACTTTATTTGTGTGATCACCTATATTGGCACATTTCTCTTTTTATCATACTTTCAGGTCATCATAAAATCCTGTGAGTGCTTAGCAGAGATCGGATGTTATGATATTAAAAACGCTTGTGACAGTCCCTCCTACAGATAAAAGCAGAATTGTGGATGTTAGTCCAAAGCAATACTTTGCCGAGTCGGTATTATCAACTCTGGCAGAACATCTGTTTGATGACGATCCCAATTTAAGTAACGCTATAGCGATAGCAATTAGCAAACTTTTAATGTACCAGGACGGGAAAATAGCTTTGGGTGAGAATCATAAGAAATATTTTCCTAATGCATATTAAATTGTTAATATTTTATATTGGTATAAACAGATGCCGTGGAAAATGAAAAAGATATGTTGCTGTCTCTGTCGACAACAAATTGTAAAACACATGCTGTATACAAAGTGGAGAATATGAAATTTGATTTATACAACGCTATAGATTACTGGATACCAAGTAACGATGAAAGTCTTGACCAATGGGTCACGAGAATAACTTTGGCTCTGCTGGATCTGGTTTCATCATCTTCGAATTATTTGAGATCATTGATTACTGTTTGTGCGAAAAAGGTATATTAATACTAAGTAATATTATATGTTGGTTACTAGTGATAGTTGACTACCTGATGATATTTACTCTTACTAGGACCCTGCAAGGATTTTAAATCAGCAGAGGGGCATTAATATGTATATTCGGAAAAAACAAAAAAATATCTCTAGATCTATCAACAAAATTAGGCTATAATAACTAATTTTCATCAACCTTTTTATAAATTATAATCCGTATATTTTAAGTGTAAACATTATTGAAAAAAATCTTAAACAGAAGTAGTTTATTTCAACAAATTTTAATTTATTATGTTATAATTCTATTTTAGCCAAGCATCTCCAAAAGGATTATGCCAGCTTTAATGGGTTTGATCCTTTCTTGTTCGTCCGATGTGCACGCAGCAGTTTTTGGAGGACAAATAAACGAAGTATTTAGATTCATTTGGAGTAAAAGCTTCGATGAAGATTTTGAAAGTAGCGATTTCGGGGGCACCCCGAAAAAGACTTCAAGTATAAGCCACGATCATAAAATGATAGTACACTATCTGTTGGATATCGTAGACTTTGTCCGTATACAGAGGGGGCATTGCAAGTTATGGTGAGTAATACACTCTTACTAAAAGAAAAATAAGAAAAGAAAAACCAACTTGAATGACAAAAGTGAGCTCTGTTCAATCAGGCGTTCATATTGGGTTTCATATCTGCTTAATTGAGAAAAACCACTCTAAAATACATTTGTTTTGAACAAAAAAAAAGGACGTCATTAATTATAATTCGTATAGTGGTTGAATAAGATTTGTTCCTATTAAAAGCTCAATTATTCCTAGCATACAAGGTCGTACAGTGAAAACTTTGAACTATCTAAACCTTGAATACGACAAGGTGTCGTGGGGGGCGACTGTCTCGGAACAGCCTCTGTTGGCAATTTTCTACGGGGAGCTGTGGGCGGCCGCCGCTAACGGAGCCGTACCTCCTGCTGCGCCGTGTAACGTCACTCAACTCCCGGGGGGAGACCACGTTCAGAGAATATTCAGGAGAGTAAGTTTTAATGATTTCTATGTTGATTTCTAACAAATGATTTCAACAAGCAAATCATATTCAAGAAAGCTCAGATTTATTATTACTTAATACTTGAAGCTCTTACCATTACACTTCTATCTGACGACCTAAATACACTCAAGAATACTATGAAATAAAATCAAATTACTCATTTGAGATAAATCGGAGAGTGAGTCACAGAATTTTGGACAGAAGTACTGATAGCGTTACACTTGTAATGTTATGCACCAATTACATAACATGTAATATTTTTTTGCAGTGCTATGTGTCCATAGGTGAGATGGATGCCATAGATGGATGCGGCACTGCTCACTTGACCATTGAAAAGGAGAAAAGGAAACACCTCATTAATACCGGCCAATATTCTGATGCTTTGCTCTTATTAGATATAGCACTTTCTCGAGGGAACGAGGATGAAAATGTGTTATATGGGGTCGTGACGTCACTGCACAAGTTGGGCATGCATCATTTGGCTCTACAGTATATCAAATCTTACCCAGAAAGCGATAAGCTCGATGATATTAAATATGACTGCTTGTCCTATCTTGGTAAGTTAGTCTTCGGTTTTAAAAATTAAAAAGGGCGAGGAATAGATCATGAGGAGTTACAAGTTTTTTTTTTTTTTAGGTGATTGGAGCCACATTGTTGATACCGTGGAACTCGAAAACAAACTTACTATAGATAATATCAAGCAAAATTCGGTTATTAAAGCAATGCGTTATTCTTGCCTGAAAGATTGTCTTAACATGAATCCATCTGCAGATTTCGACTTGAAACTTGAAAAACCGTTTAACAGGGCCAAATTAGCTATAGCCAAACTCTGCCGAGACCTTAACATGGAAAATTGTCAAAGTGTCTATAAAGTTGTTTCATATTTGCATCTATTTAGTGACATTGAACTATACTATTCGGTGAGGTGTGGAAAAATGTCGATAACAGAATTGATAAGTAGATGGAAGATCGACAACTTACCCCTTTTCAGTGATTTTAAACATGTCGAAGGTCTTATATGTCAGCGGAGTTTAATTCTTGAGCATGCTGCACCAAATTATTCTATTCCGACAATCACGGATCTACAGTTACAATACGCAGGTATTTAAATTCATCATATTTTGTAGATATACAGACAAATACATACATCCACAATACGTTTTGTACTCCATGGGTTACTATAGCTAATTAGTCTCATCTTATTGGCAAAAACCTCTCTTTTCAAGAATTATTAAATGTATCTTATGGTATATCTATTTTAGAACTGGGCCTATCAAACAAAAGAATCCAAATGGCTCAGCGTCTTCTAGCCTCTGTAAAAAATGACCAATCATCCAAAAAAGTGGCCCTGCTAGAGAGTCAAATTTCGTGGGCCAAAGGGAATAAAGACATCGCCCTCTCTCTACTCAATGGAATAATTACACAAGACAAAGAAGATCCCGACCTTATGGCTATGGGTTTAAGGTGTGTTATAGTTATTAATATTTAGCACTTATTGGGTAATATAATGATTTAAAGATATGTAAATGCGTTTTAGGCAATACGGTCTATGGATGGCAGAGAGTAAAAGAGAGAATGCGAGAGATATCATACATAAATACCTTGAGAAAAGTCTTAACGCTCTGAACGGTCGTGACGATGTAGCAACGAGATTTAAAGTGTACTACGACATAGCTACTTTTGCTGATGCCGAATATAAACAGGTAAAATAAAAAATTCTAACCTACCTTTAAAATTCTGCGCTTGCACAGAACAATAATAGTAATGAAAATATATTGAGATTATTTTTGCAATTATTCACAATAATTTTACACCATGTTTTTCTCGACTAGGTGGTATCTTACATGCATTCTTCTGTGTTTGAAGATAAAGTAAAATGTGTTGAGAACATGAAAGGCGCAGAGGCTTCATTAAATTCGTCCCAACAAAGGCTAACAAAGTAAGTTTAAAGGTAACAGTTGAGTACAATAACTAACAGTAAGTATATCTATTTTTTTCTTCAGGGATCAAACTAGAGCTTTGAAGGCCAATCAGACCTTCAGACGGTTGGATGAAGCAGATATCGTTAATACTAAAGGAGAGAAGGAAAGTTTTCTTAAAATGGCGTTGAAGTTAGTTCTTGTTACCTTTATTTATACATTAAAATTAAACTTTAGCTACCAGTAAATTAACTAAAACATTCATATTTTTTATTTCAGATATTATTTATTATCATTGAAGATTTCTGATGAAAACAACCTGTCTGTATTCCGAGTGATTTCTTTGTGGTTTGATAACCCGGGTTTCGATTTTGAAGACGAAAACTTGGATAGACTTCTCCATGATGTACCATTGTGGAAGTTCATCACCGTTCTACCCCAACTAGCTCCCAGACTTTCAAATGAAGATACGTCTTTCGCTAAACATTTGAACAAACTAATAAGTGCGTATTTGGTAACAACTAGACCGTGTCGCATTAACTATACAGGAGTAGCATATGCTTTTTCCCCGAATATTTAAACTTGTTGCTGAGAATGGTTTATTCTTTGAGAATCCTTAAAACATGCTATATTGAACACAGTTGTAGTCTCAAATACATAAAATTATAATCTTAGTTCCTATCTAAAGGAGCGCTTATGAATATATTTAAGAAATTACTAACACCAAAAGCCCTTCAAAATAATTTACAAAGGACCACAGGTATTATTAATCTGGCTTTAAATACAGATTTCTATGTGTATAAAAACTTTATTTACGTACAGAGAGATGTGCACTGGAGCATCCCCACCACACTCTTCCGATCCTTTTCAATCTCAAGAACTCCGACAAGGATAGCATTATATTGAACGCAAGTTCATCAGTGTCGCTTCCGAGCTCGGTCGAACCGCGTATTTTGGCGGCTGGAAAAATAATACAGGAGCTTTCTGACACTGAAATAGCCCTTCCTATATCCCAAATGGAGCAGATCTGTAATGGTAATATATGACTATACATGTTCGTTATGAAATTTTTGTATGAATAAATATTGTGAATATTATTATATATCAATATTAATTTCAGCTATAATAAGCTTCGCTTACTACGTTCCTAAATCTAAAGACTTAAAAGCTCAAACAATTCCGAGAACGGAACCAATATCGACTTTAAAAAATTTGAACGCTGTTCCGATACCCACCGATACGATACCTATAAAGAAGGATTCTAATTATTCTCAAATAGCTAGTAAGTTGACGTAATTTAATTACTTATTTTTTTATATAAATGAGTATTCAGGTCTGTATTATGTCCTTGTTTAAATTTAATTTCAGCTTTGTCTTCATTTGAAAACAGCTTTGAACTAGTTGGAGGTATCAACTATCCAAAGAAAATATCTTGCTTGGGATCCGATGGGAAGAAGAGGATTATGCTAATTAAGGTAAACATACTAAACATTTGAACATTTCCATGGTATTATAATAATATACTTAAATAATGTAGAATCTTTGATAGGGGGAAGATGATCTCCGCCAAGATGCTGTGATGCAACAGGTTTTCAACATCGTTAACACGCTCCTTGAGAAGAATCCAATTACTAACAGGAATAAACTCCTAATACGTACTTATAAGGTATACATTAAAATTTATATACATAGCTGTTACATAAGTAACACACATAAGTGTTGGACTGTACAATTTTTGATGCCTACATCAGGTGCATAGTTTAGCGATGATGTACCCACAAAGCCGATTTTGGTGGGATATATGAAAATGACCTTATTTTTAAGGACGGAGAAAAAAATCAATCACTAAACTCCTAAATCCTAATAATAATGACGTGTATTAAAATTGTTGATATTGTAACACCTTTTAAAATATATCATAATATTATAAAAGCCCAATGTATAAGGATTTCAATCGTGGATCTTTAGGCTTCCGTTGAAAAAGTCCTTAATCATTCTTGTTAGTTTTTAAGTTCGGTTAAAATATCGGAAAGAATGTTAACATTGAATTGATAGATGTACATATATTCTAAATGTCTCATTATAGAAAAACGCTTATAACTTCTTTATAGATTTCACTCAAAATATGTTTTCTTGTTTGAAATGTTCCATTGAATGAAAATAAGCGCTCTTGAAATTAGGAAAAGGCATTAATTTATATGATAACAATATGATTATATAATGATATGGTATATACGTATATATGTATGTATATTTATATATGAATAATCGTTACTCATATGTGTATACATTTGCAGGTTTCTCCGATGTCTCGACGGTCTGGTGCTCTCGAGTGGTGTGTAGGGACCACGACCTTGGGTACCTACCTTCTAGACGCACACAAACGATATAGGCCAAAGGTCATACCACTATTATTTCATACATCTTTTGATATACATATTTTTTAACACTTACATTCTAAATAAACTATTTGACATTCAGGATAAAAAATCCCCCCCCTTATCATCAAGTAATTCGTAACTTTATGTATCAGTTTCAAAAATAGCACATTTTATTATATTTTTTTCTAACGGCAGTTAAATTAAGATTAGTGATATTATCATATACAAGATAAATAATTAAATTAAATAAATATTCGAATAAAATTTTAGGATATGCCGCCATCTACCGCCAGGGGTAAGATAAAATCTTACCAGGAGAACCGAGTGTCCAATAAACGCAAATTAGAAATCTTTAAGGACATATTGAAAGCATTTAGGCCTGTGTTTCATTATTTCTTCACTGAACACTATCTCGATCCAGTGACATGGTATGAAAGAAGACTTGCATACACCAGAAGGTAACAAAAATTCTATTACCCTCCCCCCAATACAATAAACAGATTTGAACAGTTAAAGTACATAAGATGAAAACCGAGTTCCTTTCAGAGGGATAGTCATTCTTCTTGTTGATTGAATAAAGAGTACATCGACTAAAAATAGATAAATACAACAACAATCAGTTTTCAAACAAGTTGTTTTAATATACATAAGTAAATGGAATAGGAAAAATTTACATTTGCCTACTATTTTGGATTTAGTTAGTCCTAATTGCAAATTCGTGTTTGAATTAATATAAACATTTTATTTTCAGCGTTGCTACATCTTCCATGGTGGGGTACATTATGGGTTTGGGTGATCGACACGTACAGAACATACTGATCGATGGAACGACTGCTGAATTAATACATATCGACTTTGGTAAATTATAGGTTAAAAGTGATGTAACCATGTACGTATTCATATATGTACATGTAATTCTAATACATACTTTATGCCATAGGTATAGCATTTGACCAAGGAAAAACATTAAATACTCCAGAAACCGTGCCATTCCGCTTGACTCAAGACATCATAGCGGGATTTGGATGTAGTGGAGTGGAAGGAATTTTCAGACGGTATTGCTATAAATTTATATAAGCCAGTTCTGTAGAGGGTGACAGAATTGTAATAATATATTTTTTGTTTCGTCCAGGTGTTGCGAGAAAACCTTACAATTACTCCGGGATCATCAAGAAACTTTGCTGACTATATTGGAGGTGCTTCTGTGTGATCCGTTGTATTTTTGGATAGTAACTAAGAATACTAAATTAGAGGAATCAAATTCTGAAAGTAAGACTTTGTTATTGTTTATAATAAAATTCAATGTGATATGTTTGAGGAAATTCATTAGGTGTAGCAGCTAAACTGGAAACAAATTTATGTTAATTTTCACTCAAACTCCCATAATGTTTTTGGTTCAAATTGTCTTTGTAGATTCATATGACTACTCAACTTAATCGAAATAATATATAGCGTAAATTATGAGTATGCTAACATGTGTTAGTTAAGGACGTTTTTTATAAAATCAGGAAAATTGGAGATACATATGTAATTACCGATGCTGACTAAAATTATACCTGAATATACCGTCATAATTAAAAATAGTGAGTGAAAACACGAACGTGACATAATTTTTAAGTGAAAGGATTGTATGAAAATAAGCTTTAAAAGCATTGCGGTTTTTCTGAACTCAAGTTATTGGTCCTATAAAATATTTATTAAAATCAGAAATAAAAAATGTTATAGTTTTTTAGACGAAAGCAAACAATAACAATATAGCTTGGTACATTAAAATTATGCCTATATGAACATCGACATATACTAATGGACATGTCTTAGAGATGAGAATGTGGCACTCCGAAAGAAAGAGAGGAAACGAAGTTTCGGTCTATCTTTATCTCTGTCAAAATAGTACAATAAAATAAAATGTATAATCTGTAAGGTTCTTCGAGCAGCGGCCTGGCGTCCAGGGCTCTTCTGGCTGTTCGCAGTAAGTTGAGCGGGGCGGAGGGTGCGGCGGGCGCGGGGGGAGTGTCCGTCACCGGTCACGTGGCCAGGCTCATCAGCGACGCCAGCGACCCCGCCAACTTATGCCGAATGTTCCACGGCTGGCAAGCCTACTTATAAACATGCGACGAACAAATACTCTATAATGTTTAAGATATGTTATAAAATTAAAAATTCTTTAATCAAAACGATTCATCACAATACTGTGATAATGTTATAGTGTCAGTAATATTCTCTTATATTCTATTTTTTATTGTCATTTTCTATTGTCAGTTTTATATGTAAAATGATTGAATCTAAATACATATAAACATTTAAAAATTTGTTTTAATGTCACCTTGGTCTGTGATCACTAACTGCACTCTTTACCAATACTGTTCATAAAATGCTTTCGATTGCTAATTCTGTCATACATATGTTCTTTAGTCTTTGGCTAGATGGGTTTGCGCTTTAGTTGAAATAAAATTGTACCTTATACATTACATAATTTGCTTTTTAGATTTTAATACAAGAGGTCTAATTATGATATCCTTTATAGTTTATTGCAATTAAGAGCAAATATTAATACAAGTTTAGGGAAAACCAACCAACTATAGGCTCTTTATGAGTGACTTGTGTGTTTATTTTCATAAATCTTTGGAAAAAACTTAACATAAAAATCATGACAGAATTATAAAACACAGTCTTTTTTACAATCATTTTGCACTTGTATAGTCCCGGCCTGCAAAATAGGGTCAAAACCTAAGCTGAAGAATGTAATAGCTAATTCTTATGTATGTATAGAGTATTTTAGTGCACTGATGTCGAATATGTTTTCAGTTTTTCTCCATCACCGCCAGATTTTTTAAAAAAAAGTACAGTTAGAAAATAGGAAAGGAAAACACAAGGTGTCATTTTAAAAAGTACATTACTTTCAACTTGAAAAACTAATAAAATAATGAGATCTAAGATATTCGCGAGTACTCATTTAAATAATATAATAATAACAACTTGGTCTAAATGACATGTTAATTTATTTGTGAAACCTGGGCTCATTTTTTTGTTAGCGTCATGTGTGTAATTTTCTGGTTGGGATCGTCACACTTCAATAACCAACAATAGACTGCCATCATGCTAGTATTTGTCGTTCCTTGATACCTGGCTTTAAACTCTTTTAAATGTTGCTAAATTTTTTTTGCATAGTTCTTCGAAAAGGAATAATCTACTTAAGGATTTTTCTCTCGTGACCGGTATCAATATCCAGTTCAAAATGATAGTTCCATCCGCGTCAGGACTTTTCTTCATTGCCACAACTCATTGGGGTCGAAGAACATACAAGACTGATGTCATGACATGAATTTTGATATTTTGTTTCATTATCGAATATTTTTTTAAGAAGAATTTTCTACTAAACAAACGTAAGGTTACTTATAGCTGAAGTTTTTGTAAATGTAAAAAGAACGCTATAAATTCTGCTTATACTACGGTAGTGATGAAGCGGTTTCGTTATTTAAAATATATTTAAATAAAAAGTGAAATACACACAATTATCTACTAGTTTAATTCGTTCTATATTTAAAATAAATATTCAAATTCACATTAAAAACAAAAAATCTATATTCTGGCTTCGTAAACTTGTATTTATAATACAGATAGGACCTAAATATACGTACCTTTAGGGGCCATCCATAAAGTACGTCACACGTAAAGGGGGGGGAGGGGGTCGACAAAGTGTGACATGGTGTGACAAGGGGTGGGAGGGCTCCTAAGTTTCGTGACATCACATTTCAAAATCTAGAGGTACTAATCGCGTAATCTTCTATATATATAAAAATGGATTGCTGTTCCTTAGTCTCGCTAAAACTCGAGAACAGCTGAACCGATTTGGCTAATTTTAGTCTTGAAATACTCCTGGAAGTCCAGGGAAGGTTTAAAAGGTGAGAAAAATTGGAATAATTGCCGAGAAAACCCTAAAAGCAGCCCATTTCTATTTCCCATACAAACGTGTTTTTTTTTTGACATTAGATTTGACAACTAACTAATATGTCAATCATTCTGTTTGATTGAAACAGGAAAAACCTGATTATTTATGGCCTCTAAAACGGAATAGAGTTCGCCTGGTCAGCTATACCTACATATATTACTCTTGACCAAACTAACGCGGACGAAGTCGCGGGCAAAAACTAGTTTGAAATATTAATTAAACTAAAAAATTTGTCCAACTCTATCTTTAGGGCAATACGTTTTGAATTGTTTTGTTGACAAGTTCATAGCCGCTTCTGACACGTGCCGATCGCCGACGAGACCTTTGGCTAATGACTAAAAAAAGCACTTTATTTAAATTGAAATAAAACTAATTTCGGAACTGCTATTTTAATTTAATAATTTTTCGATGTTAAATTGCAAAACATGTGACGTCACACTAGGCAGGGGGGGTCTCTCAGAAATGTGACCACCTGTGACAAGGACGGGGGAGGGCTCAAAAACTCATGAAATAAGTGTGACGTATTTTATGGATGGCCCCTTATTTGTAATTCTTTTCCGTACATTTGTACCGATAGATTAATTGGACAGAATTCTATTATTATTTTTTAACCCTACAATAATCGTTATGTAAACTTAAACAAAATTAATTAATCAAAAGATCAATACTGTATATTATCTTTATCAGGACATAACCAAGACTTGTCTTTCTGTCAAATTCGTTGCCATGGTTACCAAACCACAAACAGAGTTGTACTGCAAATGTAAAATGGCTATTAATAATTATTTAAGGAAAATAGAAATGATTTTACCTGAGAATATTACGGTCTAATGGCAGAATTTCATTGTTTTGGTCAGATAACAAGTGCTAGTAATTTTAGCGAACCACATTCTTTGTTTTGTCGTTATTCGTTACAAGCCGGTATATCCTGAATAATTCCTCGGATGTGTTGCAGACACAGAGGATACTACTATCTATACATTTTTCTCTTTAATGCTAAATAAATATATTTCATACGTAACTCTGCAGGGCCAAACTGGACTCTAGTATCCGGATTTTCCGAGGGGCAAACTGCTTGTGGGAAAGCGGATTACTTAAAACGTATAATTTGGGCCCAACATATCGATTTACATTATGTAAGCAGAGGAATGCAAGGTAATAATATATATATACAGCATAAAAATATTTTGCCTCCTTCTACAAATTACAATATTATTTTAATTATAATGAGTGTCAAAGATAAATTCGCCATATAAAAAATAACAGGTTGGCCTAAGTTAATCGTGCAAGTGAGTTGTCTGGACGAAATAGGGCGTTCCTGGGTAGTTGGTTACGGTTCTTCTAGTATTCCAGCTGTTCCTGGATTCCATAGTATAGAAATCCCATGTTGGGTTCCTGCTGCTACTACTATCACTGATAAATTGAGACAGGATTTTATTGGGGGCTCTAATCAGTTGGCAGATACAGATATAATTTACTTAGGAAGTGATAGGTGAACAATTTAAACAGATTTAAAATATATATGTATATATAAGAATAATAATATATCTACTAATATGAACATGTGTTTTAGGTCAAAACTTAATACTCAGTCAAAAGGAACTGTAAAATTGGATATTTATGTACTTTTAAGAAATTTTGCAAAATTTGGTGTTGAATATAAATGAAAAATGCAGCCTATAGCGTACCTGTGCTTCACATTACTATCTATACTGATTCAATTTTCTCTTTTGGATTTTATAACTACGAATGATGAAGATGACATTTCCCTAGATGATTCAAAATCAGCCTATAAAAAAAATAAGGAAATATTTAACAAAATAAAACAAACTCCACATGCACTTTATTATCAAACTGAGAAAAATGGGTTACAAGAAAAATCCTATTTAATTTTTCCTTTCAAATATAGCAATATATCTCTTACTGAATCTTCATTTTTGAGCTCAACAGAAATTGGTACCACAGTATTTGATTTGCTCTATGATGATAATATTTCATCAGTAGATGATCACTTCACAAGTGAACCTCCTTTTTCTTCAACCGCATTTGATAATGTTACTGAAATTACATTTTTTGATAAGAAAACCTCAACTGCAAAACCAGATGAAGTACCAAAGAAAAGTATAAATAATAACAAGTGTGATTGTAATTTATTGGTAAGAATATTAAAGTTATTATTTGTTTTATTTTAAAATTAAGCTTTAATCTCTTGTGGTATTGCAGCATGATGTGTGTGATGCAGGCTGTTGTTGTGATGATGACTGCACGAAAAAAGAGAAATATGTATTTGAGAATTGTAATAACAAAAGTACAGAAAGATGCATTCATTGTGATAAATATCAGATGTACATGTGTAAAGATAAAGAAACAAGTGGCCTATACCAAAGTCTATTTTGTATTGACAAAATAAATTTGCCCGAAAAACCCACAAAAAATAAAAATGTCGTATGTACACAATAAATTACATGCATTCATTTATTATAACCTGCAGTCTATGTAGCATAAATAATCTAAACAATTTTATTTGTCTTTCAGGTTTATTCAACAGATACAGGCAATTTTTACTATTGGCCCAAAAGAGATAAAAACATAGAGAAACCTATTTTTTCAAAGCAATTGTATGTTGCTGGGCAAATGATCTGGACTATAACAAATAAAAAGTTAAATATTTTAGGTAAACTGCTTTTAATTATCAAATTGTATGGACAAACACATTTCTATAACTTATTTTTGTTGAGATACTTAATGTTTCTGATTCCAGAAATTCCCATAATGCAATGTAATAATTATTGTAGTGGCACCAAAGCAATAAAATTTTTAAGAAATGAGGAAATTAAATGTTTAGTAAAATTACAAGATCTCCATATGTTGAATGTAATTAAAAGTTTAGAGGATACCAATATTATTAGTCCTACAAATACAACAATTAACAGCACGGTTCTGGTAACACATGAATTTGGATTCTTTTTATATATTACTTGTAAGGATTTTTGCCAATTTAATAGGTTTTTCTTTTTAGAATTGTAGTTCAGTTGAATGTGTTAAATTGGCACTTTTAATTTGTGATGACAGTGACTGCTTACCCTATAACAAGAGTTTACATGAGCCGACATGTTCAGAAAGTTACTGTACCAATATTGCTGTAAAAGTGGATTATTTATTTTATTGCAATGAGTCCATAATAACAAAAGCAGTGATCAAATTTCGCGTAACTCGAGTATCAATGAATCAGCAAGTGGTCAATCAAGAGATAAAAATTAACTTTTACATGACCAATGACTCTATAGATAATGTGGTTCAATTAAGTGGCAACATTGGCTACATCAAAGGGCTGCCCATAATAGCTTCATATTCAATAAATAACCATACAAAAGATTTCTTTAATAACACAGTTCCAAAGAAAAGAGACATCACATTTCCTATTAACAGAAATGGTGTTTGCTTTCTAACAAATATAACCAATAATATATTAATATTTGGACAAAATAAGAAAATGAAATGCAGATTGTTTTTAAAACGAAGCACGAAAATATTTAATGGAACTGATGAATGTTTTAGAATTCAGCATCAAATACAAGAAGTTTTAGGAGCAAGTAAAAAGTTTTTTATCTCACCCTATGGCAATCCACTTGGAATCGGTGATGAGAAGTGGCTCAGTATGGAAAGTTCTTAATAAAGATGATATTTATGGCGAGTACCGACCAAAAAGTTCAAAGTTGCTTTGTTTCAATATAGTGAAGAGCATTTCTTTTGTGTTTGCATTTGCTGATACAGGACAGATCAAGCAAGAAAACCAGATTATAAACGCTAAAATTGAAGGTAGTGCTGAAAATGTGACATTTGATGTAGAAGACTTATCATTGATTTTAAGCATAGATACATACTTTATTGACTTAAGTGTACCACCAATGGTGGATTTTCCAGAAGCTCCCCATTTAAATATTCATTTTCCAAGGGACTTCATAAATTTCCTTCAAATAAGAGCAATTACTTCCAATGCTATTATTTTTTAATATGTATGAGTTTCATGTTATGTTTAATCAAATAAAATAACTTTCATTTTATAACTAATAATTTTTATTTTGCAATAATTTAAACACTTTTATTACTTCTATCACTTTATCTTGGCTTTCACCCTTCTGAGTTGGACCTGTGGTGGCCTGAAAATAAATCCCATTTTAGGTTTACACCAAGTCAGAGACTGAGTTATTGAGGTGCGGTTTAATAAAACTAGTTTATATAAAAGAGAATTTAATTTAAACATAGCTGTTCTAAGGAATTATGAGGAACGCTTATAGTACACATCAACCAGATCAAACTCAAGCCACAATATTTGTATATACAATATTTTTACATTGATTACAATTCAATCTGTATGTACTTGATCTTTAAGGAATAATTTTTTCTAACTATAGTAAAAACAACAAATAAAAGTTTGTTTACAATTATATACTTTGATAATTGAGGGTCAGCAACATCAAGCAAGTATGTTACAGATGTTCTGCAACCCAATTATTTAAACAGCAAATGATTGTTGAAACCTGTTTATGTTAAAAAATTATAAGACTATTATAAGAATTCATAATATTTAATGTATTTATATTCCAATTTTTTTAATAATTTTTATTTTCTGTCATCAACATCTGTAACATTCTTTTATTTGATAAAATTAAAACGGTGCACATTCACGGTCGGAACGTATAAGCGAACAGTTACATCAAGAGGGACGAACAAACGTAAATATATATATTAGGAGGAACAGAAGTCGCTAGAGAGTAGCCAGTAGAAGTGAAATATCTCAGAAGACTCTGAAAAACAGAAGCATCTACTTATTCTGTGTATAAATATATTGATTACCGACACACAAATGTGATACACTGATCACTGATACCTAAAGTATTGAAAAGTAAGTCATTACCATTGTTTTTAAACCTATTGATATATTTTTAATTTCTATAACTTTAAAAAATATATGTCACATCCCTAACCACAGGCATTAAGTTAACGTCATAAGAAAGTGTCACAGAGACTGTTGAACGGACGGTTATAATGATACAAGTATATCTAATATATAAAATTCTCGTGTCACAGTTTTCGTGCCCATACTCCTCCGAAACAACCTGACCGATTTTGATGAAATTTTTTGTGCTTATTCGGTTGCTATGAGAATCGGCCAACATCTATTTTTCATCCCCCTAAATGTTAGGGGTAGTCCACCCCAAAATTTTTTTTTTTTATTTTTTAGACAAAATTTTTAATTACTATTTTTTTATGATACAACGTACAAAAATACATACAATCCTAAATTTTCACCCTTCTACGATCACCCCTTATTTTTTAATAGCTATTTTAGTAATTTAATCATTTTTCATCTCCGGTCGATAACTGATCAATCGTCATTTAATAAGTTATCCCCGCCAGATATCTACAGGTGTCACTTCTGACCCAGTAAACAGCACGGAGTAGGGATGAGAACGAAGCCGGTCTTCTGTTTCTCTCACACAATTAGACTTCTCTCACTCCCTACACAGTTGTCGGCCATCGTTATTGTTTGTGCATCAAGTGTAGTAGTAACGTTGACAATTATTATTTTGCTAGCTCAGTGTAACTCTCATATTAACTATTAATCATTCCTAATCACTTCAAAACACGGAGATTTATGGCTTTAATAGGTAAACTCCAAAAATATAAATAAAAAAAACGTAACAGATATTTCTTGATTATAGGGCGAAACGAAGTTCGCCGGGTCTTCTAGTATGATTATAAATATGTATATGTTATACCTATGCGACGTATGTGTAGACCTTGCGGTCGTCGGGAGTGCGCGCGAGGTATTCCCGTTCTATGAGACCCTCAATACGTTTCTTGATCACGACGGGAGACGGGAGGAACCTCACGCGGAGCTGTTCCGTCACCTCAGCCACAAGTAGTGTGTGCTGGAAAATTTACAAGGAACAAATTTAGTATAGTAATTATGGTATATTAAAAATTTGTAATAACCTGTATGAATATGTTAGTCATTGCTGTGCTATTTCGAGCGGATTAGTTCAGCAATTACTGCCATGATTACAATTTAGTGATAGTTTTTTATTTTTGTTAATTAATTTAGTATACTAACATAGGAGATAAGTAATATGTGACACTAACAATAAAATAAGTCATAGTCACTTGAAATAAAAAGTTATTATTATTATTAAAAAACACGTACCGCCATTTTCTTCCTGGCCTTCATGATCCTCACAATGGCTGCCTCTATTTCGTGTTTCCGGTCCTCGTCCACCTTGTTGCGTGTCTCACGGCGCTCTGGCTCTGATTCACCTTTCGCTGCTACTGTCTGAATCTTAACTCTGTGGACATATAATATCAGTAATACACAAGTTTGTAGGATACGTATGGTTAATTTTTTATATGTTTAATACAAATGGCCTTTTGCAAAAATCCCAGATTGATCATATGTCAAAATACAGACGGTGACGCATAAGTCATCGCTCTTCATGTCTTTGGTTCTATGTATAAAAAGTACAATTGTTTAACTTTCCTTAAATCATTCTCATATTGTTTAAGAAAACCTACTGTGGATTTCATAATAAATAGTATACAGTTCGTTATTATTGAATTCGTTTATTGTTTAGCCGTGGTAGCAAGGAAAGTACGTGAAATTGAAATTGTAGAGAAGTTTACGGAGTGAACGACTGTCTATTGAGATGAGTGAATTAACGAAGAACGATTTGAAGTTCGAACATTATTGGTGCTCAGGTTGACTATCAGTGTAGAATAGAGATATAAAAAGGAAGGAAGAAGTAAAACCAAACTAGTTCCAGTACCAGCCCATTAACAGTTTCCCTTGGAATTTTTAAAGACACCATACATATCCATTTACAATAATAATTAGTTAATATCTATAAAAGGTATCCAAAAGTGAAAAACTAATTCAGTAAGATTCAAGCGAAACTTGAAATAAAGATGTTTCAACAGCTCCTTATTTTATCAAAGAATGATTTATTATCTATAATATAATCAGTAATTAATTTATTATGATAAAATAAAATAAGATAATAAAAATAAAGTTATCCAAAAAAACCGAACACGGACCTCGCACCATCAGATTAAAGTTTATCCCGATCTTTTCTTTCAGATCTGTATTTCTTCGTGAAAAAAAGAAATACAAAAGAAGAGGTTGCGGATACAGTGCCAGAATTTTTTGTAACTTGGTCCAAGAATAGTTTTTCCGTGAAGTCAAAGAGCTCACAGAAATTGGTAGTTTTAAAACTATAGAAACGAGCTACTCTTCGAATGCATGAAATGCTTTCTTATAATTATTAAATAGCCAAAATGAATATGTATTGGAATCAACATTATTTATGAGACATTCCTTAAAACATTCATTTGTGTAATAATAACCATTACTTTATTACTGTTGACAGTGCTATTTTTTTGGTATTTCTCTGACCAACCGTATAAATAATATATATGACATTATTTAACTCACCTATGTAACTTGGAGGTGAAGGCATCGTTTACGTAGAACTGGTGCGAGGGTTCGATCTCCTTGGTCTTGGGATGTTTTATCAGGACGCGCTGTGTTGGTTTCCCCATCGCTAATGACTGCAACGCTCTTACCAAATCTTTTTCAGGGATGTCAGTCTCGTTGAGGATTTCCTGTCAATAAAATAGATTATATACACTGTGTACTATCCTACACTATATGTCGGAGAAGTAGCATTTTGTTGGGTTTTAAAAGCGTAACAATATAAAGTAACGTCAGCATAACTGACGTCACTATTGCCATCTTCTTCGACAACTATAATTATTTATATTATACTTAGTATATCTGTATGTTAATGTCTCGCAGTATTACCTCGTATGTGAGCCGTTCACGTTTATTGAACAGTAGCAGCACGCACATCTGGAAGGTGGACACTTGTATGATGTGCCTGCGGACGGCGGCGGGCGCGGCGTGTGCGGTGCCCGCGGGCGGCGGAGAGCGGGGAGGGCTGCCGGTAGAGGGCGCGCGGAACGTCGCATGGAGGTCCGCGCTACCCAGCTGAGGTTGGAGAGATAACTGGCGACCAGAGTGCTTGGCGAGGTAGAACCTGCGATAATATATAACGATGTGGTAATTAACATATATAGAGTATAACTCAAACACGCCAGAATACTTAGGTCATTAAATCAAAAAATTGCACTTTTAAGTATTTAATATGATTACGTAAATTTGTGTGAACGATCTTCATTATAGTTCAGACAGACTGACATATACTGACTGATGGAATAGAAACATAAGGGTATGCTCTTAAACAACAAAAATGTAAAAGCTGTTAATAAAAGATAATTCATTGATGCATTACAATTACAATTACATGTCCATGGAAATGTGACAACTGTCTTAATGAAAATAACTAGAAAGCTTCGATATGACATAAGCATAGGATACGCATTCTTTATTATTTAAAAACAACTCACGATCTGAACACATCGAAGGCACTCCTCGGCGCCGTGGGTATGTTACACTTCGGCGTAGCACTTTGTGTCGGCCAGAAACCAGTCGTCAACACACGCACGGACAGATCCACGCCATGTAAATTGTTCTGTGACGAATAACAGTAAAATACATTAAATATTTATTTACAATTATCATAGATATTTATGAAACAGTCTAATATTATATCTTTGTCGTGGAACAGGGCACATACAAATTTGTAAAGTAATAAAAACACATTCACCCCTGATTGAAGCACATGCTCTTTGAACTCTTCCATAATAGTATTGGAGACTGTCATGTCTTTGAACATTCCTTCCAGCTTTGATGTGAATTGACATCCGCACTCAGTCTGAAATGTAAATAATACATATTATGAGCAGTAATTTAGATATGAAAAGTAGATTTCGTTACAAAACTAATGAAGATGATGTAAATTATGCTAAGTGACTACATTAGTTATAATGAACGTTAATGGCGATGCAGGGTCTATGGAAATCTATAAAATCCTGCTTAAAGTCCGGTCTGCAAAATTCTTTACACATTTATGGCATAGCAACAAAATAAATAATCCCGACTTTAAGCAAGATTTCAAAATGATAATCTGCAAAGTAAAACTTTGGACACTTACAAAAAATGTCCCAGAAAATTGGTAAAGAATTTTGCAGGATTGTTGGGATGGTATCGGTTGTATGGGATTCACTGATCACTCATTGGATTATCTATTTGTGAGACATCACCGATTATACAGTGGAAGTCTCTTGGCTCCACGTCTTTAATTAAGCCTTCATTCTGGGAATGGTATCAGATCAAAATATACTCAAATGTTGTTTTTTGAATTTACTTTAAATATGACATTTTTGATAGCATGTTTACAATCAAGTAACATGAAATATTGGAAATACTTGGTCATAATATAAAACAAAAACATACTTTTTTGCATTATTGTGATTCTCAGTGATATGTGTATAAAGAGCAAAATTTAAGAATTGGGAGTATTTTCTATAGAATAGTATATTCATATCTCCGTGATAAAAATTCAAACAACATACCTTCAGTTTAGAGATCATGTTTTTCTCGCTGTCATCTGAGACAGATTTATTGAGCAACAAACGTTTGGCAAGATGCTGTTTGTAGTAACGCTCAAACACGTCTTTCTCTTGAAGGAAACGGAAAAAGCACCATCGTTTTGTCCAGTACTGCCTCTATTTCTTGTTCACTCATCTATGAGGATATTTTTTAAGTAGTATTAATTAAACTTATTTAGAAGATTATGTTTATTAATAAATAAAAAATTTGCAAAATTAAAGTTTAAGACGTATTCATAAAATTATTGATTTTTTTTTTCAAAATTACCATTTATATAGCTTATAACATTTGATGCATGAAAGGTAGAAATATCAAAAGTTTTTAACTTATTTAATAGAAACTAAAATCTTCATAGATTAATATAAAGGAACAATTGCTTGACATTATAAGTTTCATTATAAAATTATAAAGTACTTACGCCTTTTTCGCCTTTCTTGAGTTTACCATCAATGAATAATGATAGGAATTCTGGGGATTTGTTGTTCAGGTTGAGGAAGTATTCAAAATCTGAAGCGATCATGTGTTTAAATATCTTATCATTGTTAAACGAGTTGTGGAGGAAGTGGTCGAATCTATCTTTAAGGTCGAGGAGGTTCTGAAACAAGGAATAGGTAATTGGATATTGCGTTGACAAATAGAAGCATATGTTGTAAAATAAAAACCGTTATGCTATTTAGATAATATCTAATAATATATTGTCTATATATGTATAATAGTAAATTATCTATTTATTGCATTTCAGCCCTTTAAGGTGAAGCCTTATAAGCAAAAGCATATTTCTATACATTTTTTTTGACCACATAACAATCCATTTTAAACCAAAGATCGGATTTTACGGTCAAAAATATTCAACATAGACCTTTTAAAAATTTGTTTCAAATAATATAAGTATTTGCTTGAAAATATTGCTTTGCCAGTAGTAATAGAGTGCGCTGGTGATTTTGATCATATATATAATCAAATACAATCTCATCTGCTATAGCCTTAACCATCAATGGCGTAGTATTACCTGCACGTATGCTATGGCATTAGTGTTGCTATGCGTGTCAGTGACGAGGGCGCGGCCTTGTTCCCTGAGGTGAGCTGACACAGCGTCCGCTACAGTGCGCAGGCCTTCGTCCACACGGGACAGTAACTTGTACATACAGGCCAACTCCACTGTACGAGTGTGCATCAACATGTGAACAACGCCAGAGTTCTCCATCTATGGTTATAATCATAGTTTTAAATTATTATTGACAATGATAAGTTATCTGAAATTCGCAACTTAGACCGCTTTGTTCGTCATATTTATATAGTTTTCCTATGTAGGAATGCTCTTTGAACTCAGTATTAATCCATGTGGATTTATCTTTAAAAAGGTAGCATATTAAAATCTACGCTTTAAATTTACTTCATACTAATTTTTTTTTATTAGTCTCCACGAAATAGGACTTAAAAACTTTAATAGACATCTATCTAGTGATTTGATGCGCGAGCAGCCTTAGCTTAAACATTTTTCCTCTGAGAAGTTACTCATTACTATGACGTCAACCATGTATGTACCTGTTAAGGTTTCCTCATACCTCAACAATGGTCTTTATATGTCTCTCAATGAGCTCGTGTTCGAGGACGGCCACTATTCTTGGCTCGGTGCTCTCGTCTAGGTAGTGTCGCGCCCGCTCCGCCTCCTCACTGATGCGAGCCTCCACACGAGCTATGTACACCGCCGCGCTGTTCTCAGCTAGGAACTTTTGAGATTCCATCTGTCATATGAAATTGAGTTATTTAAAACCATATAATAAAAACAATCAAATGGTACTTTATGAATAATCGCAAACAAATATACATGCTAATAGTATCATTAATAGTAGTGAGACCCCTTTCAATATCACTAAGATCTATTAGGCATTAAAAGTACCCTATAAAATTCAGAGGACTGATGAAGGAAGGGCTTCTCAAAGTCCTCTTCGTAGACGGTGCGCGAGTTGATGCCGACCACCATGAGCATCTGGCAGGCGTTCCTTATAGCGAGGCGATCAACGACCTCGCCGCGACGCTCACGAGCAACCAGCTCTAGTAGGGTCTGGCGCAAATGGTCACGGATGCAACCGTAGCGGGCAACCTGATATACATAACATACACCATGAACCAAAATATTAAAACAATATGAAATGTATACAAAAATTTGTTTAAAAAAACAATTTTGATGCATCAAATTGAAGATATTTGAATTCTCTCATACTAAAAATAGATTTAAATTAAATTACATCAAGCAGTTATGTTGTATGAACATACATATTTGTAATATATAAACAGTATGTAAAAAAAAATGTCACATTGAATTGGACTCCTTTTATAAGTAAAGTCTATTTTCGAAGTAATTTCAAAACCCACCTACAAATCATGATATGAAAAATATAAAATAATACCATGTTTCAAACTATCTACTAAAGGTGACGGCACTTGTGATCTACTCTTATATTTATTTAACATTTTATTTATATATATATGTGTGATCTTAGTTACTTGAAATTGTTAATTATATTTTTTAAATGTATATTTCATATATCTGTTATATTAAAGTGTATCAATATATTTCTCACCTGGTCCCTGAATATAATGAGTCCCAAGTTATAAACATTATCTACATCATTCTGCTGTACATAAACTCTATCCATATACATGAGTATGTCGCGTATCATGACCATACTGGTTTGGTGATCCGTCCAAGCATTGTTTAATGTCTGAAGAAACCCATTGTGGAGCGCTTGAAGAACATCTTCACGGACCTTTACAACAAAACATTCACTTATTTAAAACATAAGCTAAATAACCAAACATTAATGTATATGTAAGTTTGTATCAACCAACTAAAAATATTGTAACTATAAGTTCTGACAGTACAAAACTTGTTGATTATTTTTTAACATTTTCCGATATACAATAAAATATGTAATGAATACTAAGTCGCTAATCACAATGTTTAATATAATAGAACCACAAATTGTAAAAAAATTATTGTGACAATGGTTTTATAGAAGTAAAAACGTAAAACAGAGATTTAACCCTTTCCACTCCAATGTCGAGTGTCACTAGACACTGCCTTTGATCCACTGTTGAGATTAATATTTAGGTTTTTAATATAGTATCATGTAATTACTCATAAAATAAAGTTTATAAAAAAAAAATACACAAAAAACTGGAGTGGAAAGAGTTAACAATAATAACTACCTTTGTTTCAAGGTGATGTGTAACAACTTCTTTTAATCCTGTATAAAGTCGTTCTCCATGTTTGTGAAGGACCATGGTGTATGCATTTCTGTAAAGCTCCTCAAATGAAAGCCCTGAGTTATTTTTTCTTTTGTATTTCTTGTATTGCATTCTTAAGTAAACTCCATATGCGCTCCACATATTTCTCATCCATAGTCATCTACAAAAGTATACACATTATCACACACTTTCAAGCTATAGTAATTTAAATATATTCTCTATGGATTAAACTAATTGTATTATTAGAATGTTCTATTTTTAATAAATACATTAAATACTGACCCATGTGTCTGGGTACATTTGGTAATATGGCTCTGAATAATTCCATACTTGAAATTTCCGTGTCATGGTTAATATTTAAACTATCAAAATTATTGGATAAACATTGTAGCAAACAATAACAAAAATAAAAAAATATATATACTGTACAAAGTTGTTACAAATGATTATTTTAAATTAATTTTTATTCTTGTCAAATTAAATAATATTGACATATTGAAAACTGAAATTTTTGTTCTAAACTAAAATAACAATGTTTCTAATTTCAAACAAGTGTCAGTTGATGTAAACTTGCCATATCTATTGTAATTAAAATCTAATATGAAGGAATATAGTATGAATAAAAACTTGGCAGCTCTGTTTCATATAATATACAATTATTATAAAAAAATTACACTGCTTTTGATGAGATTAAAAAGACTATATTGATATTTTATATTGAGTTTAAGATCATAAAACACATTGTTTTGAATTACAAGTAGATTGGTTTAAATAAATAAAAACTGCCTTTATTTCATGAAACAAACTCTTCAATATTTTCGACACAAAAGTGTTCAAAATTATAGTTTATCCAAAAAAAAAGCAATGACATTGGCAAGGTATTCTACAATTCCAGTGTCCAAGTGTAAATGAAGCCATAGCATAAAATTAAAGAAAAAGTATAAGGGTTTAAAAAAATTGCTTTGCATTCTTTGAGTCTTAAAATGTTTTTCTTTTCACAAGGAAAGATTCATAATTATTTAAGGAAATAAATAAATATTTTATATTGCATGTAATCTGAAACTTACCGAAGTAAACATTTAATAAATAAAGAGTATTTCAGATGCTTCTTTTTATATTTTATGCAAAAGTTTAATATAAAACTTAAAAAATTGAGACAAATCCCATCTTTGGTAATGGCATAGCTAGATATTTTTAACATTAGATATAATATATAGTGTATAACAATATTTGTGTAAAAGAAAGATGTCATCAAGATATACCACAAAGTACGTTTTTTTATAATATTAAGCCAGGTTTTAGGGTAAAAAGCATAAGACAATAAACACATACACAGATTTTCACTCAAAAATATATGTATTTTTAAGTAATATAGAATCTATCCAATGGAAAGGAACATTAAAAAAAGATTTCAAATTAACATTCCACTATTATGATAAAGGCTGTCTTAATATTTAATATATAACTATACTGAATTGATACTGCCATATTAAAATTTATTTAAAACAGTTTCACAACAATTTGAGTTAGTTATGACCAAAAAAATCATAAAATATTACTGATAAAATATACATAGCAATGAACATTTGTAAAACTTATTAATAATTTAATGCCATTCCATGTATTTTGATTATGGAAACATAAAATTAATGCTGTTTCTAGTTCAACAATGTGTGTGGTAAATTTGTTGTATGATAATCTGTAATACATATATACATAGATTTGTTTTAATATAGAGGTTGTACCAACAATGTTATATTTGTTTCACAATAACAAATGATACATAAACATTAATTATTGTAATAATATTGGCATCGTACGTTTATGTCGTGATAATAATTATATTTTTATGTTTAACAAACACTTACGGGAAATGCTCGGATCCTCATTTTGCCAGGTTTATCTTTAGGTAAAGTACTCTTCATCATTGCGGCAACGTATCTTTTAACTAATGCACTAAATAAAACTCTCAACTTCTGTATTATTTCATTTGCAGTCACAATAATACTTCATTGTTACTTTTACATTCACATCTGAAATCAAAAATGTTGTTTTACTTCTTGCAAACGCAAACGTCATTCATGATTAAATGCAGCACTCACATCTAGTTGACCATTATAACGTGTAAGGGAGATATCAAATTGATACTATTTAAGAATCTTATATTTCTTATAGCTAGTAACGTATTTAAATTGATACAAAATATATATATATATATAGAAATTAAATAGTTGTGACAAAATATGAAGATGTCTCTTTCTCTGTTGTGAAGTTTATTTCAATCTACCTCAGCGCCACTTGTTATTATCATTTTTATTTTAAAAAGACTTGGAACTTACGTATAAATGTATCTTATTACCACTATTAACTTTAGAATTATTCGCAATACATTAACATTTAAAGAACATGTATTTTTTACTTGAGTATAATTCTCGAATCTCGATTGTTTTATTTAATTTTTATTCTTTCTTAAAACCACAGATGTCGAGTGTGTACAGATTACTAACATCAAATCCAAAGACAACTCACTTCTCTTAAATTACATTAAACATAATTAACAAAAACCGTTATAATCCAATATTTAACTAAGCAATTTATGTTTTAAACTATATAAAAATATATTTTTGAGAAGTAAAAATTTTTAAGGTGTGAAAATGATAACTATGGGAAAATCATTTTGTTGCATTAGATAATAGATGTCACTATTTATAAAAATTGCGTATTCTGCGATAGTTGGAATATGGTTTTTATCCTCTTTGTTACAAAAACAACAATAATAAAGATAGATTGATCTCTTTACTTTAATCTTTAAATTCCGTAATAATTTTAAGCTTGACATTTACAATAATGTAAGTAAGTTGTCCATCTTTTTCAAGATTTGACAATTTTATTTACATTGTACATAATTAAAGAACACTCAACATTTTTTTTTATTTTGTTGCACATAGGTACTAGATATGTTTTGATCTTTGGTGAACCCCGAAAGTGCTTTTTTGTGCCTTCTAAAGTTGATTCCAGTTAGGTTTCTTGGAGTCTAACAAAATCTTTAAGGCAAATAAAAATATCAAAATGTTACGATGGAATGATATATCTAAATTGTATAAAAATTGAGCTATTGGTACTTTCCTATTTGCCTCTTCGTGTAAATTTTTAGGGCGCGCTTTTTTAAGCTTAGATAATATTTTGTCTCATTATGTTTGTCCTAAAGCTCAATAGCCCAAATTATAAACATCATTTATACTTAATTATACTTAATAATATATTATTATAATATTCTATTTTTATCAAACCAAACCGTCCAGATATTTTATTTTTTACAAAAAGGTAATAAGTATATAATCAGCCCTTATTTAGAGTAAACTTAAAAAAAATATTTAAGATTATTTTTTTCCAATATTATTCCTGCTGATGGTTAAGTAAAAAACATTTATGCAACCTTATTGTCAACTGTGTGCGCTCGCAGTATGCATTTTAATCTTCGTAGATGAAATATTTTGTAACTCAATAAATATATCCTTTTTTCTTGATGTTTACTTTATATCTAACTAATATGAGTTTTTAAAAATGGCCCTTGTTACAATTATATTTGATATTTAAGTTATTGTGAAGATATTTAATAAATTTTATATTTGTGTATTAGTACCTACCAGTAAAGTTTAGGTAAAGTAGTAAATCCTTTGAAAATAAATAAATTCAAACACCAAGAGATTTAAGCACAATGTTACGGTACTTCTGCATATTTTGTAGACATTAAATTACCCCTTAACTTGTTAATAAAAATCCTGATACTATTAGAAAGGGTGTTCTAAACTTTTCATATTTTATTTGACAATATCGTTATATTTTCCAAAAAAAAACATGGATAACTTAGTTTAGCAAATAGGTAATTGTAGTCGAGGATGTAAAAAAAAAATAAAAACATCAATTACTAATTATATTTTTATTATATTAATAGTTTCAGCCTTGATGTTACTAATACTTTATTAGGCAAAATTAATAGAACATAAATAATTAAAAAGACTATTTTTATTCGCAATGGCTCTAAGATGACATCAAAACTAAAAAGTGCTATGTAATGTGAAACGTAAATGGTGTTTTTTTATGTGGCAAGAAATAGTCGACCTTGATTTTAATGAAAAAAAATCTAGTTATTTATGGTGGTTTTTACTGTCCTAGAGTTTAATAACTTCTTCAAAATATTAATGGAAAGAAGGATTATCATGTATTTTTTTGTTGTGTTGTAACTGTTACTACACATATTCAACGAAAGTGATATTTGGTTAATTACATATATGTTTCCACTTGATGATTTATGATTACTGTTCCATGTTATAGAAAGAGAAAAAAAAATATATATTTATACGCCTATCATATCTCTTTTTAAAATTGTAAAAATTACTTTTATGAATAAAGAAATACAAAAAATCTTACGTGGGAATTCAAACAAAGCTTTTTAGTTACCATTTTCAAGTGAACTAAGACTAATAAAATATGTACGAAAAAAAATCTTGATCTCTAGACATGTTTTTAAAGTCAAATGTGTCAAAAACATTTCAATTTTTTTTAACAAACTTACTTTTTGACGAATAAAATCATCACAACCATAAAGGCTTTGTACTTCAATACTTTTATATATTGGATAAAGAGGTTTTATTTTTTAAATTTCGTTACTTACTTACAGATCTTATTCACAATATAGGTATAAATAAATTTGTAAAAAGTATAATAAGAAAGACTAATATTTGCACAGTGACGAGTCTTTTTTATGACAAATAGTTCCTAAGAGCATCCATTTTTTATAATGTTTTATTTGCCTTCATGCTTCCACAGAGGTCTTTTCTGTGATTAATTTTTTGCTTTGCTTAAATTTAATGTCAGTATAATTAAATGGATTCGATTAATCACTGCAATATGAATATTTATAGAGGAATATATACTTCACGGTTAAGAGATTTCAGTGTTTTTTCGTAGTACTTAAAAATTATTAATCATAAAGTCTAACGTAAAAATATTTTGGTCTTATCTTCTTAAATATTATGTAAAATTCAGTTATAGCTGCTAAGGTTTGTCTCTCTCTATTTATTATTACCAACTTAACTGCAATTAAACTACAATAGAACTTAACATATTAAAAATAATAACTAAATTTATTATCATTAAATAAATTAGTCTAAATATAAATCTTTGTTATAAAATTAAATGACTATATTATATATTGAGGAGTTGTAAAAATACTCGTTTTGATGCAATCGAACTCTTTTATAGTAAAATTAAATTAAATAAATAATTTCCTGGATGAATAAATGAATGAAAATAAATCGTCTTATAATATTAAGTGAAAGATTGGTTTAATGACTCAATAATCCCTCCATTATAACAATTCGTGAAATAAATGACTATGATAAAAATTAAAAAGGTACTTTAGTTTTAAATTAGGTATTCTTATGTAATTATTCATCATAAGCTGGATTTGTGTGGATGACCCATCTTAGCAGCAGTAAAAAGCAGCAGGCCAATGCAAAGAAGGATACCATAACTCGAAGTGTTTTCTCAGATCGTTGATCGCGTTCACTGATTCGTAGTCTTTCAATAAGTCCGTTCTGAAAACATATATATGTATATGATATATAAATAATGACTGAATTATCCAAATAAGGTCATTATTGCTTATGAACAATTGAATTTCACTCGCAATTGCTATCGTATTTTAAATTACCTTATGATAGCCGAATAATAAATCTATATCACTGAGAAATATTTCAGTTAAATTGGTCATTCAAATAAATAAATAAATGGCGTTACTAACTCATTGTAATTAGTATGGCGTTATATCACAACATATATTTTGATCAACGATTATTAGATAACTTTCTAATATGACCTACCCATCCACCATGAGATGCTATCCAGGATCCAGGATCTTCGTGGAGGAGGTCTGCTATGGCTGCGGCTGGTGATGACACTAGTTCAAGCGGGGGTTCTCCATCTCCTGCCTCTGCCGCCTCCCTTGCTAGAGCTCCACATATACAATACACAGCAGCGATCTGAAAATATAACGTATAGATAAATATACAATCTATAGGGAGTTGAATCTCTCAACATTAAATTTCTCTTAAATTGAATTTATCTTCTACTATAAAGAAGTTTTATTTAATGAGATTTAAGACTTTCAACTTCTAAGTTTTATCACTTACATAAAAATTATATTTTTTGGATATACTACGTGTGCAGACGAGAAGAGATGAACCTGTGATCACGGTTGCTGAAAACTAGTCGAAACGTTGGGAGTACGTAGTTTTTTTACAAAAATAAAGCAGGCGTAGTATATCCAAAAAATATTAGTTTCATTTAAGTTTACAAAATTTAAAATTACAGAAGAATTTGATTACTTTGGACCATGTTATGTTTTCTCTGGTAATGCGTCGAGCTAGTGCTAGCGTTAACTCAGCAAGGGCTGTATCCGATCGCAGCATAGTTGAAGGCGCTCTTGTGGCCTGCCGCGCCACATGTCTAAACGCTTCGGGCCTTTTTCTTTCAAGAGCAGCACATAAAGCACGCAACGCAGCCAAAACACCGCTTTCTATATTATTCGTAGCTTCTTCACCACATTCAGTTTCCAGCATTCTTTGGAGACGTTTTAGTACTATTTGCTTTGAATGGAAATTAAAATCATTAGTTACATGTTTTCATTATTAAGTCTTCTTACTTTTATGATAATAGACAGATCAAAATTTACTAAAAATAATAAAAATTACTTTATTTGGGCATGACGACGATCGCCTTATTTGTGTTTTAATGTATTGAAGGCAGAGTGCACGACCCTGGCGGACTATTTGAGGTTTGACTTGCGTGGGTGTGGCGAGGCACCATCCGATGGTTGCAGACAGACGTCGTGATACTGCAGCTGCCGCAGCACTCGATACCATCGTACTGAAGCGACGCTTCGTGCGATCCAACGGAGATAGACATCTTACTGGTGATAGTCTTAATAGTTCTACAAAGATATTTATTAATTTTAACAACTGAACATCTGCTGATAAACTAATTCTAAAAAGCCATCGAAGTTTCGATTCAATCAAAAATAGATTTCAGATATCATATAATTTAAGGAATGTTTCTTTTACCTGTGGCATTAAGTCTCTCTATTGAACCTGGTAAAGCACTTAGCGGCGTACTGAGTTTCCGCCGCATTCGTAGCGGCGGTACAAATTCATCATCTTCTTCTCCATCCGGTGGAGTCACGTGGATAGCAATGTTGTTGTTCTCTTGAACTAACTTTCCATCTGACGGCCATTTTGATTCTGTTATTGGCCCTATCTGAAACAAGGTTTTTAGTTCTAATATTAAAAGATATGTCATGTTGCTGTAAAATTTAGGTGATAAATTTTGCGCCATATTGCTTCTAACTTTTTGGCCTATAATAGTGACGTAGTATTTGTAATAGATAAAAACGTAAAAATAATACATTTTAAGGATACGTAATATAAATTAAACAGACTTGAAAGCCGATATACCTACTAAAGAATATTCTTAATTATATTCAATAAATTTTTTGACGAAAGAGTTAAAACTTACTAGTCCCTGAGATTTAAAATGTAAATAATTTTATGATCCATAACATGATAACATAACAACTCTGAGTTTATTATTTTTATAATATCTGTTTATGTTTTTCTATGCAGGTGATCTTTCTCTCAGCGTCTCTTTCCTTCTTTTCCTTTTTTTAACAATGAATACTTAAATTTGTCTGTCATAATCTAAAAGTCAGATTTACAGACACTCACTTTTGCATACCCGTTTTAATTAATAAATCCTGTTATTATTCTAAATTATCCTTTCAGTTGCAGAATTAACTAAACAACATAATTAGGTTACTAATTGCTTAATTATAAATTAACATGATAAAGGTTATAACGAGCCTGAAAGCGGGAAGGTTAAATACGTATGTTTTAAACTATTTTCAACTACCTCCTTTAAAGTATATAATTAGTTTTAGTCAATTTTTTACTTTGTAATAATTATTATTAACCAAAATAGAATCCAAAAAAAAATTGAATTAATTATGAAAATACTTCGAAATGATTTAATATTTAATGTGATTAATTTTATCTTGCTAGTGCATATATGAATTAATATATCGTACAAAAACAAAGAATAGAAATAACTTAAATCTGCCTGATATAAGCGTATTTTATTTAAAGATTGTTTATATATTTAAATTTAATAATTCCTAGCACGTGTGTGAATACGAATGATAGGTTTGATTTAAAATTAGGTCAATCGGAAGATACGATACATTAGCGATGCTATCCAGGATCCCTCTGACTCGATAGTCGATGATGACCGTGGATGTTCGCGTCTGTACTGTTAATTCAACATTTCAATGTTACTGATATCGTTCACGCCATCTGAATACGTAATCGTTCGAAACAAGGAAAGTAAATTAGGAAGTAACTAAAAGAACATGCATTTTATAACATGTGAATCATATTATATATGACAGCTATGGAAAAATATATGATCATTAAGTAGTATTATCGTTTCTATTTGATAAATAATATTTTATGGAATTAATAATAATTATTATTCGAACTTCTGTTAGCACGCGTAATATTGTTAATTAATATTTACCTATTATTCTAAAGCTTAGCATTATGTTTCAATTATAAGTTAATAAGTCCAACTGTATATTTAGTATGATTGATGATGATGATGAAAAATTAGAATTAAATTGTAGATACTATACGATATAGGCAAAAATTATGTTATAAAAAAAATGCATTTTGAAGCTTGTTAGTTACTCGCTTCTTTGAATTATAGGAATAAGATATGTATATTAAATTTATTAACTATGCTAAATCTCTATACTAGTTTATTTAACGGAATAATAATATAAAATATAACTTACATATTTCATTGCTATATTTATTTTACAAAACGGAATAGACAGCAAAAACATGCTAATGGTTTTTTAAGCCATTTCACAACACATCCTTTAACCTCTTTCGGAAGCTGAAACTTCGTTTAAAAATACTAAAACATTTTGGACTTTTTACGTTATAGAAAAATTAAATTGGTTCTATAACTAAATTGTTATGTTTCTTAAATTGATTAATGGTTATAGACGTAATAATGATTTAGGAATTAATGATAGTATTTTTCGAGCGAGATTGCGAATGAATGAAAAGTATTGAAGTGGTTAGGCATTAAGTAAGGGGAAAAAGTTCAAGTAGGCTTTGGCTCGTTTTTCAACACAACTCAAGAGCATTAGAGAAGAAAAGCTAACTTAAGCCGTTAAATCAATTTGAAAACCATTTCAAAATGAACCTACTCGTATCTCACTGAAAAATTAATATAAAATGTAAATATCTCGAGTATTAGGTAAGGGAAAATATTGAGATTTTTTTTAAAGTAAGTACATTATTTTCTGTGAAGTCTTTAAAAAAACATTACGAAATTTTATAAATATAATATAAGAATGAAAATGTATAATTAAATGATTTGTTTACAGTGAAGTTCAAATAAGGCAAAGCATCTTTTCTACTAGAACAAGTACTAATCTTGTAATACCTTAAGATATGAAGAATTAAGAAATGAAATACATATATACAAATTAGTCATTTTTTGGCAGCGATTTAATATTTTTTTGGTTTGTTGTTCTCATATTTACTTTTAGTTTAGCTATCTATGATATGGCCTTCTGATAACGCACAATTATTCGAGAGGACAACGTCGTATAATTAAATTGATAAAAAAATCAATATTTTTATTATTCTAGAATTTATTGTTCATAACTTCGTTTACAATGTTTTCGGTTCAATAATAAGAGAACAACAGAGTTTCTGTTGACAGTTTTCGGGAGAAATTTACTGTGGCACGGTATTACTATCTGAGCCATAAACCTTCGCGGACGTTGAACAAAATTTTATAAAATTTAAAAGAATTATTTTGGAAACGTAAATAGAAACTAACATTTCCTTTTTATATGGACAAGGCGTGTCATTGATAGATAAATATTATTCTTACATGAGAACAATTTTGTTACCTTTATTGTTGTATTTGATTGACGTAATTAACTTTGATTAAAAGACGAAAGCAATCCCCATTAGATTGTAATCTGAGAGTGTTAATGTAGACGTTATTCTGAGATGTTGTATGAGAGAACTGGTATGAGTGACGGTTTGATAAATACATCTTTTGTGGCTTTGAATAATAAGCGAGCTACGAGTGAGTTGGCTTTATTGTTATCTGAGATCACACGTCACGTTATTCGCTTTGCATTTATTGCTATGCGAGACGAGATTTGTCACGGCATTATTTTGAATGATTGAGTTCTCGTACCATAGTCGAATTGTTTGCTTTTCGCCAACCATTTGACGTCAGTTATATAAATGAAATATATTCTATTATACAAATATTATTAATTAAAAATAAATGTTTTTTATTGATATCGTAGCAAAATATATACAGTATTGTTCTTTGTATAAAATATTCTTTTGAATGACGTATGAACTTCATTTGCAAAGTTAATATGACAAAATTTCTTAAATAATACGCTGAAATCCATGATTTATAATAAATATATCGCATATTGGATTAAAAAATTATGTGAACAAAAAGGTGGCTAAAGAAGTAATAGGTAAGCGCAAATTATTTTCATATAGCAACACCCATATGGGAGTGTTGTATTGTATGTAAATATGTGTGTTTGTCTGTTATCTTTAAATTATAAAATTTTGTCATTTAATTATAATGATTTCTTATGAAGTTTTTTTAATAAAAATAATCAAATCTATATTGTGTTCTTTAACTAAGTATCAGCAAAAATTTAAGAATTGACATAATAAAGATATAGAAGATTATTTAGCTCAAAATTTTACAGTTATCATACAATATAGTTATGGTTTATTACATACAACAATAGGAAGTGTATTCATATTTTTTGTTTGTATATCTTCGTATAATTCCTGATTCTAGAACCTCATGAGGTTTTAAGTCATTTATCACACTGAAACTCAGCACTATAAGAACTAAAGTCCAGTAGAGTTTACAAAAGTTAATAGCTAACTTATTTCTTATTAGCAAATTGTGTTGTTATTTCTAATTTTGCCTTAGCTATGTTCGGTTTCCTTTTTTACTTAACTTAAAGTATATTTTAATTTGATATTCCACAGAAGCTTTTTGAAATAAACATGTATGCATAAGTTCACATTAGTGTCAATAAAAATTATGATTGTGATTTTTGAAATGTATGAGACGTAACTCAATCTATTGTTACTCAATTTCTCGAAATCGGTTAAAATTATACGCACATATGTATAGATTAATCAATGTAGACATTCTAGTTTCTTTACTGACTTACATACTTATATAAAGACACGTTAAAACAAATGTTTTTATCAATTCACTATTACTCCCTTACTCTTAACAAAATATAAGTGCTTAAATACATTTAATAAATGTGTGTTCCTATCAAAGGTTAGCCTGTTCTACATTTAGGTGTTCAAAATAATGTAAAAATATATGTATTTAAACCTCACAGACAGTTTATTTTAAGTTATCTTGTTAAGATTTAGTTCAAATATTATCTTTAAATTATGAAGGCCATAAATTAAGAAATTGAGATTTATTTGAAAGTTGCAATTTTTTTAATTGTTTTAACCTGTGGTTGTCGTTCTGTTTCTTTTTCTCGACATTATTTTGTGGCGTATTAAATGTGACACATTGCATAATATCAAAGGAAACTTCTCATTAGAACTGGTCGAAACTACTTTAGAAAATACAAGTTATATAATACAAGGCACAGTCGTATACTGAGTTGGAAAAGTTTCTAGGTAATTGTAGAAAAAACTACCTGGGATGAAGTGCAAGTTCCGCTATAGGTCTGGTTAAGAAAATCGTATTCGGACATTTTAATAAGAAAAGTTTAAATAGAATGTATTCTATCATATAAAATATATGCAATTGTATAATATGAAATATAATCTTCTATATATATAAAAATGGATTGCTGTTCCTTAGTCTCGCTAAAACTCGAGAACAGCTGAACGGATTTATCTTATCTTAGTCTTGAAAAATTCGTGGAGGTTCAGGGAAGGTATAAAAGATGAGAAAAATTGATTCATTTCCGGGAAAATCCTAAAAACAGCTCTTTTCTATTTCCCATACAAATGTTTTCTTTGACATTAGATTTGACAACTAACTAATATGTCAATCATTCTCTTCGATTGAAAGAGGAAAAACCTGATTATTTATGGCCTCTAGGACGGAATAGAGTTCGCCCGGTCAGCTATACATATATTACTAATGACGAAATTAACGCGGACGAAGTCGCGGGCAAAAACTAGTACTAAATAAATTTGGTTTGATATAATTTACTATTATAGGTGAAGTATACATTAAAAATTACTGTATTGCTTTAAATGCAAATAATTGAATGAGAAGGTTTTGAAAACCCATAAATGTAA